AAATCAAGCACACGATTCTCCTCTGATTGATTTGATTCTTGAAATAATCCCTTTTCCCTTCGTCCCGATTAGCTCGACTGCAAGGGCGGTGAAATTACGGAATCAAGACAACATAGGTACAATCGGAAATCTGACCGAAGTGACCTTTCTAGAGATAGCCGCCTGCAGGAACTTCAACAGTGAGTCTCTATCATTTATCATGAGGAGCCCGCTCTTGGCGCGAACGCCCAGGAACTCGTGGATTTCTGGCAGAAATGGCCACTCATAAGGGATCCATCCTCGCCTATGAAATCAAATCATAATTATCGTTCCCGTTGCCCCCGAGTCGTGTCCGAGAGCTGAGTCTCCTTTTCAGTTAAAAGCATTCAAACTTGGAAGAAATTGAAGCATCTGGTAATGATCAACAGCGATATGGAGGGGACGCCGATGAGCGCGAAAAATTTCCCGGAGCTACCTGAATTGATAACGCTGTCTATCGAAGAGAGCGGTGTAAGGAACGTAAGTTCCGATATATTGGCCAACTTTCCGAAACTGGAAAGACTTCGGCTACCGTTTAACGAAATCGAATATTTCCCGGAAGAGTTACTCGGGGAGCGTTGGCGTCACTTGAGCCTTTTACTTGTCGGTGAGTACCTCTTGTGAGGAGTAGGGCGTTTTTTTCATCGAAGACCACATTCGGAAACGAACGAAAAAGCTCACTGATCATTCCTCCTCCAGGCAATCCTCTCAACTGTCAGGCGTTGAAGTCGCTGAGAAAGCGGAAGGCGACGCGCGAGATCAAAGCATGGTATGGCGACTTGGAGGAAAAGAGTTGTCCCCGGAATGACACGGAAATCATCCCTCATGTGCAAAAGCCTGCTCAGGGTTACACATACAGTTTTTCCGGTCACCTCCTGAACTGGAATTACGATACTATTTCAAGATCACCGTAAGTCTTCGCATAAGCGGTATCTGACCAGAGAAGCCGGTCAGATTGAAATATTCCTCAATAAACTGATAAAGCGAATCTTCAGAAGAAAACTTCTCCAATAGTCAAAGCTTCACCGGACTAGGTGACGAGAAACTCCTGAGGAAATCAAGAAGACTGCTGGAAAGAGAAACCCGGAGGCAGTGGCGGTCCTATGGTGGATGGTGCCCTGTGCGGTTTCTAAGAATGGCGGCCCAAATTATCCATGCTCGAAACCTACGGGAAAAAGTACACGTGATCTTGACGACATAGGAACCGTGCATCAGACGGCTTCTCTCCACTTGTTTTCACATTATATTATACCCCAGCGGTCGGGGACTACACATTCTATCGTGGCTGTAGGAGAAGTTTGTCGTCGCTCCTGAAGAGAGATTTCCGCGACTTTCGGAGATTTGGAGATCATTGACCACTCGAAGAGCCCCCGCTGAAAACGATGCATAGTTTTTTTTTGCCGTTTGCCACCCGGTGGTGGCTGAGTTCCTCATGACATCCGAACTTGCGAATCTTCAGATGCTCATGCATCGATTGACCAGAAGATTACTCAGGGGTTGCAAAGGGGGAAATTCTCTCGTCGCCGACGAACTTTGGCGCCGAAATAGCTGTTTTACATATAGTGAGGATGCTCGGGACAACTATCCCGGTCCCACCTCGCTCTTTCTCTTTTATAGCAGCTTTAGGCTTGACAGATAGGCATTCACAGATTGGCTCGTCTGGCTTTCGAACTAGCGAAACCCTCGATAACATCTTTGTAATCGATTTTTTCGGCAATTTGATTCTCGATGGATAGAATGGCTAGATCGCTCAAGCGCGTAGAAGTCATAGTCGATCTCAAATCTGTCTTATTGAATTTGAGCTTCGAAAATGTCCGCTCGCAGCTAGCAAGGCTCAAAGCAATGGTCAAGTTCTTGATGATTACGAAACTTTCGGGCATGAAACCATGGAACATGGTCAAAGAAGGTGCCTCGAAAAGGATGGGGCCCAGTGATTTCCGCACACCCCGGGGTAAGCTACTGCCCGGAGGATCTGCTGAGGAATTGCCCCTGAAATCCGGTCTCATGACTCATGACTAAATCTGTGGATACAGGGTGTTCATCGTGAGGTAGGACCTTTATTCAGTACGTTCAGATGTCCATATCTCGACTAAGGCTCAATCGATTCCCGGGAACTTTCTGTCATTCTGAAGATCTCCTGCAGATGCACATCCTCGATCCTCAAACATTGCTGCGTCTCCAACGTCGTTTCCGAAGTTCTGCGTCGGCGATCGAATCCGCGTTTTCCTCGTCCCACGAGACCTCGCACGGATTTTTTTTGCTTGGCTACCGGGGGGATCAAAACCTAGCGGAAGAGAAACTTTGACTCGATGGTAAAATTCGCCAAATGGTTCAGAGAGAACCGGTTCGACACGGATATAGTAGCAGGCCGCCAAATAGTCTCCATCGGCCTTGAGACGGTAGAGGGAGATCGTCGACTCCTGAGATAACTTCCTCCGAATTGTGCTGTAATTCTTTCCCCATCCCGATAACGTGATTTGGAATTCCGCGTGGCGGGCAATCTTGTCGGAAGTGAACAGCTCCAGGAAGACGCGCAGGAGGAGAATAGATCCGAGGATTTCAAGGAAATAAGAAGAGAGAGCTTAGCGAGCAAAAGATTCGAGGGTTTGAGGGCTGTGCAGAGAGGCGGTGAGCTCGAACAGCCCATGTCGGCGAAGCTAGGGAGACTTGCATCATCTGAAATTCTCTCGAAAAAGTCCGGAACGCGTAACTGAGACGCCACCGACGTCGCCGATAACAACAACGTTGGCTGACGTCGCGCTGAATATAAATCATCGGTCAAATAGCAGCAGACGACGAAGCCGGAGCCCAGCGGAAACTTTGCGAGAACGCCCCTCCGTTCGGAGAAACGCGACTCGTCCGAGGGACTTTTGAGAGTTTGGCGAGATGCATGAACATCACATTGGCCGTTCTCGTCAGCGACGTCTGATTTATGCAACGCCGGTTCGAGGCGGTCGTTTCGAAGGCTTGTATTCGTCCCGGAGTCAACCGGTCGTCCGGCCGCCTCGCAGGCTCTCCATATGTTTTCATTTTATTTCTGACAAACAAATCCACGCGCAGCGTTGGTCACAGCGGAAAAGTTACCAGGTTCGAACGGAGTCGATCGAGACGAACACTTCGGACTCCGGGTGTCGCTCGTCGTTCTGTTCGATGGCGTTTTTGAAGAGCCGCTCCCTTTCAGTACAGAAGCCGCGTAGAATAAACGGAGCGCAAATGCAGTTTGCTCTCGACAAGCGAGCTCTCCTCGGCGCTTGCGTGTCAACGAGAATGCTCGTTTATACAGACTGTCACCCGAATGGCAAGACATCGGCTGCAACTGGTTGTCTTGTCGTCGGGGCACGACAGGAACTGACCCACAAACAGAGAAATCGTAGAGAGCAGCAGCAGCAGTAAGTGAGAGTGAGTATGTAAGTTCCGTTGGCACACGAGTCGGGTCCCCCGCGAGCGACCCGACGAGGACAGAAGTCGTTCGCCGCTCCCCTGCCGCGGGGCACAGAAGAGACCATTTATCTAAATATCCTCCTATCTATGCATCCATTCATTCCGTGCATTCATTTCTGTTTGTGGAGGAATCTGCCGATCGCTGCTCTGAAAGCCGTCGGATCGCAACAAACTTTTAATAGAGGACTCCTTGTCTGTCAGCCGGCTTGTCCGCCTGCCGACCACACGTCCGCCATTCTCGCTTGTCGGAGGGCTCCGATGAGAGGAAGTCTGCCGCGGATGGGGAACACTCTGCGGCATTCAAGATTTTGATTGGCGGAAGTTCCTATTGCTCACCAAGCGTCTCAACTCTTGGCTCGGTGCATCATGTTTTGAAATCGTGCGGCTGAATGCGGGACCCCTCCCATTCACTGCTCGACTGTTTGAGTCTCAACACTCTGGAAGTGGATTTGGCTCTCGGATCGAAAGCAGGGTGAGCCTCCGAGCCCTCCGGGCCCATTGCAGCCCTCGCCGCCTCTCCTCCTCCTCCTTCAATTCATCTGGAAATCGGTTGGGTTAGTTTCCCTGGCCCGCCCGAAGAGCGAGGCGCTGTGGCTGCGACTGCAGTTTCAGGTAGCCTGGAATCGACGTCGGTAGGGGCTCCCGATCTCAGCCTCTACTTGAATACTTCTCGCATTAAATATCTTTGAATTTCCGCCGATACTCCGTGACATCGAATTGTCTCTATGGATCGTCCTATGCGGATCTCCATCGGCGCGACAGGACGGACGATCGCCTCTCGCGGCTGCATGGTGGCTGCCGCGGGCCAGTCGATGTTTTGTGCCGGAAGTTCGGAAGTCTCGAAGAACATCGACGGATCTCGGAGATCGGATACAGCTTCCGTCTCTGCCCCCCGGTAATAAATGTGAGGCATATCCGAGAGCAGAAATCCTTCCGCCGAACGTCTGAGAGGGGGATCCGCCGTTCAGATCCCCATGTCTCCAATGTACGTACGAAACATGGGGAATAGAGACCGCCGATCTCTGTGCGTGCTATGAGGGGGAAGAAATCTTGAATAAACACGATTCTCTTGGTCCGGTTTGGCGGGTAATGTGAGTCAAGAGCACAATCGTATCTCGTTATGTCCTTACCCATTGCTACGAGCATGGGCGCCGTAAGTCACCGACTGAGTCACCGAAGGTCACGCGATAGCGGGATCGACAGGCTTGCGGCCGCCATTCATTGCGACTTCTTTATGCATATAGATACCAATTGACTCGCCGTAATCTGGATTGGGCAGAGGACGACTGCACAGCTCGCCTGCGTGCATGACGAAAAGACCAAGCCCATGGACAATTTTCGATAAGGGAAATGGGGTGACCCGAGAAGCCATCACATAAGGAATACTTGGCTAGCTAGTTAGCTCGGAAACGATTTGATCTCAAAAGGATTAGATGCACGATTATCGTAAGCAACGGAATTCATTCTTTGATTTTATTCATCCGTTTCAAGCGATGATTTCAAGGAATCAAGTGCGACGCGGAGAAATTCGATGTCGACGTGCGAGCCGAGATCACAAGTCGACCACGGCACCGGCGGGGCCGCGATGATGCTGACTGAGTGTCAGCTTATATCTTACTGACTGGATTCTTTGTCAGCTTCACGGCACGGTAATTTTCTTTTCACAATGACGCCGAGCCAAGGCAGAGAGAAGACCGCGATCAGGCTGCCGCAAATCACGTACAGTCCGACATAGCTTTTCACCCGATCGCGGAAATAACCTGTCCGAATTGAAATTGAGCAATCAAGGAGCATCGAGTCCGGACTCGCGACCCATCAATCATTTTTCCTCATCTGCACCATTAGTCCGCGTTCGTCTCTCACGTCATAATCCTCGCTCAAATATGCGATCACTCACCGATGAAGAGAGGTTTGGCAGCGAAGAAAGCACCCTTGAAAAACATGAGTAATCCAAAGGCGACCTTGACTCGATCGGTGCCAAGATACTCTCCCACAAGGCTCTGGTAGAATATAGCTGATAAACCGAAGAAACTTCCCAGAGTGACGGTAGCAGCAGCCATCAGGGCGTACGATAGGAGCGGCAGAATGCATAGGTAGACGGCGGAGATCATGTAGCTCACGAAAACCAGAACATCTCTCCCCAGCCAGCCCTTATCGCAAATCAGCGGCAAGACGCAGCGACCTTGAAGAAGGGTCTCGATCGGAGCTCATCCTTCGCAGCTCATACAATCAACATAGGGGGAATAATTATCAGCATCGATATACCCTAGAAACTGAGCTCGGAAATGCTTTCATAGGTTCCGAAGTTACCGAATAGATCCGCCGCCGCGAAGAAACTCATCAGGTTCACCGCCAAGACCCTTCCGGTTCCTTTGCTCAGGGCGAGATCGGTGACCGTTTGCAGATAGGCGTCGAAGCCCCACTGGTACGAGGCGTTACTGAATAAGAAGACGTAGAAGAGCGGCTCGCGGAATATACTCATCTGAACAAGGAAACCGCCCTCCGAGTGAAGCTCTGAGCAAAAACAGAAAGCAACAAGAAGAGCGGAAGGCCGTCTTTAGTCGCACATCGGAGGTATTACATTATATGCACTACACAAAGCCGCTGGCTCGCTGGCTGGCTATCATGTATAACTATGCAGCGATAAGACACAAAGACTTACTATCTGACTCGCTCGCCTTTCCAGCAGCAGCCGCGTCACCAGAGACCCACGGGGCGTCGTCGAGAAAGTTTGCGATCAACACCATCGGCAGGAGCATACAGCCTATGTATAGCATGGCCGTGGGAAAGCCCCATACATCGACCAATATCAGCATCAAATTGGGAAAAATGAAAGACGCCACGGTGGAACCCGCCGCGGTGACACCTATGAATGATCAAAGAACGAGAATTCCCATCGAAGCTCCGAATCCAGTGAGTGAGTTCGATCACAGAGCCTCCTCCGTTAACGAATTCCGCGGCTTCGTCGCAAAATTAGGATTGATCTCGTTTGCTGAACAGCTCAGACTTCCGAACAAGAAAATGATAAGACTGCAGCTCCCTATCGAACCGCCCGAGTCAGTGAATATAGGAGAGTCGGGGGTTTTCCCAAGAGCTTTCTGATGGCGATCGGGAGCATGACCGGAATAGCGATGCTCTGATGTTGATACACTTTGAGGCGAGGCGAGAGATCCATCAGGAGTTCCATTGAGATTTCGAGCAGGGCTGTCGCGCGTAGGTTCTCTACGATGGAATTCGGACGCATCGAAAATTCGCGAAGAAGCCGCAGACCCCGTTACTGAACGCATTAGATCTAATGAGACGGGAGCACCGCTTTCTGCGAATATTCCCGATTTCGGAAATCGCAACTGAGGTAATCATGGAGGCTCACCGAAAGCGAGTCCCCGATACCGGAGAAAATACTGCGTCATGAGAACGTTGACAAGGAGTATAATGGCGCCGTTGCCGAAGCCTCCGATAAGGCCGTAGGTAAAAGTCAGAACGGTCGTGTCATACGCGAACGAGGACAGAATGAATCCGAGAGAGGAGCAGAGCGTTCCGACCAAAAGCACGGGTCGCAGGGAAAAACGCTGAGATAAAGGCCCGACCAGGATTCCTGCACAGGATTCGTACGGTTCGGTAGGCAGGATCCCCCATTAAGTCGTCTCTCAATTATGCCAACAATTTCCTGCAAAGTTCGCGTCCTCTAACCGGAGAAGAATGTGAGCATCCCCGACGTGCTGATGGGCCAGGACGCCTCGTCGGCCGAAACTTTGTAATGATCTCTAATAGCGACGAAAAGGAATCCATGAGATCGGAAGCTCGCCGAAGTCAGTAGAAGAAGAACAAAACAAGCCACTGCGCACCGAATACCGACCGGTTTGTCGGGACCTTCTTCTTGACCAGTCCACAATTTTTTGAATTTTGATAACAGCGACGTTTCCATCGTGTTGCTGGTTGCACCGTTGCGCCAGGCTTCGCTGTCGGGAGCTCTACTATCGAAGACTCTTTCCGACTGGCTCGAGCTCGCCGTGGACAAAGTAGAAGAGAGAATAACTCCCGTGGATGATAGACGGCCCGGTCGACGAAACATGATGGCCGAGAAGCGGAAGACTGATTTGTTTTACGATGCCGCAGGTTTGCTTTAGATGACCTCAAAATTTTTCTATTACGCGTAAGTACTTGGTGGACCGATCGTAACTCCCACTGAACTATCGTCTGGAGAGATGCCGCGACACTCATTCATGCTCCATGGTAGAAGAGCATTGAAGGAACTTCCTTTTACGAAAAAAAAATGAAGGTGTAGTCCCTCGACGGATGAGCGGGAGAGCTCGCGCAACACGATAAGAAACAACCCCGCGTGCTCAGCGGACGCGCTCGCCCACCTCGCCTGTCTGCTGACCATCCAACCCGATTCATCGGCACCCCTCCCCGACCAGTCGATGTTGTTATTTATGATAGGCTCGCTTGTAATGGAGCCGGCTGGGTGACCCATCTATCTTTGAAGTGATAAGATCCAGCTACGACTTCGGATCGCACTCTCTTTGTGGCTAATGATATATTGTATCTACACACCACATGCAAATGTCGACGAGAGCATCCTCCGGGCGCAGGGCTCTAATGAATCGTCCTGCATCACGGGACGTTCCTCGGAGATTCAAAGTTTCGGTCGTTCGCTCGTCTGACCGTGCTTCCGTCGGGCGAAATCCCGCATGAATTCCGAAGACAACATTCATTCGTGAGGGCAGAGAATTCTCCCTGGACAAGCGCAGACGCCCGCAGCCTTTTTGCTTCGCAGAATGCAGTTTGCACAATGTCAATCGAACCAGCGTCGGAGCTTCCACGAGACATTGCCGCGGACGAGGCGGAAAATTGACGGAGCTTTTCCCGCATGCATTTCTCACCGAACGCCGATGATCATCGCCGCAGATACGCCGCGCCGCGACGAGCCTCTCCGAGAGCTCACAACAGCTGTGATTTCAAGGTTGCCGCAGCATACGTTCTCCGGAGCCAGACGCCCAAATCCAAACGGACGGCTTCAGTGAAGCAAATGACACCGCGCCGTCGTTCCTAATCGCGCCTCTCAACAATGACTCGTTCTCGAAATGGCTCTTCTTCTCCGCTCAGGGACAAATGCATGCTATTTCGAGCGTCGGCACGATGATGGCGTGGCTCGCTGGAAAGAACCTAATAGGAAGCGCTGAACCACGATCATAATAGCACGAGTAATTCGCAGATCGGTGCTGCGAAAGAACCTGTTCAAAGTTCACGATCCTCGTCCCGCTTACATTACCTCGGTTAGTCTCAGATCGTTCAGAATTTGCGACAAGCTGCGACAGTGCCTCGCGAGGAGAAGCGGAATGCGCTCCGGGTCGTTCATTGCGACTCGCGAAGTGAAAACGTCGAATGATGGAGTTGCCGCTCCGGATCCCTAGTAAAGAACATGGAAAACAGTTGAGGACAGACAGATTCTTGCCACAATGCGATTCCCTTGCCCGATCGCCCTCGACTTCCCTGACAATGCCGCTGAACGAACGGAAAGTCGGACTCGAGCCGATTTCGGTGACCTATGGCATCGGCACAGTCTTCAATCTAATTTCATGCGCGTCGTCGAGTTCGACTGACGCTGAGGCGATAAGAACTGTTTGCGGATGGAAGCTTTTCGCCTCAATGTGTTTGTCGAAAATTCTCATCTACTAGAGAAGAGTCCAGAGCTGGTCTTGAACAGCGCATTCCATCTCCACGGTGTATTAAGGAGGAATGTGCCAGAACAGATGCGAGTGATGGTAGAAGATGTTCGGGAAACACTCACAGGCGTTATCGAGAGACCACATGTGAGCTCGGCCGCGCAAACAACATTCTTCTGTCGATTCATTGCTCTAATGACGATCGTGGAAGATCGAGTTTCCCGGAGCTGCCACGTTCTGCTCGGGCTCTGGTAGGATATCGAGCCTCATGGACGACCTTGTGGTCGCATCTCATAAGCGAGCCGTTGGTAGAGCTCGCGGTGGACGGGGCGGTCGAGCCGGTGGTATACGCGAATGAAACTCTCATGAGAATTATTGGGAGAATATCGCCGCGATCTCGATTCGAGATTAATATTTTTTCCTAAATGATGGAGTATCTCCTCCGGACCTCCGGAAATAATCATGTGATAAGATAATAATTGAGCTGTATTCTTCTCACCACCGACCATGAATTCGGATACCGTCATCGTATCAAGCTGGAAGATACTGGTGAGATCTGAGTTCGTCCCGCGAAAAGCTCCGCAAAGCTTTCGTCGAAGTCTCCCCCGCATCCCTGTAATGCACGGAGAGACTTGCGAAGCTTACCATTCACCCCCATCGGGATCTTGAAGGAATTTATCATCGTTCAAATGATGGAATTCGAATTCGTCAACCTCGCTAGTCGAACAGGTTGCACGAAGACCTGATCAGCGGCGATGGCGCATCTCTTTACGATACGAAGCGTTCCTCAACTTCAACGGCAGCTGCCGTCAGCTGCGGAGGTCACTTCTCATCAAAATACATCGTTCGCATTCCGTTCCGGCGGACCTTCCGCGTTCACCGTGCCCCGTGCGAAGTTTCCTGAAACCTTCTATCGTCGAAACCGAACGACCTCCAACAGCGGTCTCTCCGAGAAGATATAGTCAGCGCTCGATTTAGTGAAACGCGATTTGATAAATGTTTCTCATGAGGAATGATGCATTTCCTCATGGATTGGCCCCACATGAAGTAATGTGAGTCGCATTGGCGTATTGAAATAGCAAAAGTGAACTACTCCTGAAAAGTCGTAGCCCAAGCGCGGGGCGAGATCCTTCCGCTTTCGACTTCTGTACTTCCGCTCTACCTTGGTCTGCTCCGAGAAATGAATATCTCGGCTCAACAGCGGATCTATCCAGACGATGATGTCGACCCTGGCCGCTTGACTGCTACGATTGATCCATTCCAGTCAAATCAGGAAAAGGAAATTGTATAGGGGAATCTTGGAGAAATAATTTATGGAAAGAGCCGAGCCTCTGTGTTATGTCTGCCTTTACCTCGGGGGAAACATCTTCCCTAAATCTAGTGAACGCCTCGCAACAGTCATCTCTCTGGTCTCTGGTCAACAGCAAGGTTGACCGAATCGAGCGCTGATTGTAGACCGGTAAATCCGCGCGAGCAGGCTCGATGCCCTCGGGATCCCACCCGGATGCAGGGACCGCGAGTAGCTCCGTCAGACGCGATCTATATTGAAACTATGATTCATCACAAAAATGATTGGATGCTGATTCCTTCTTGGCTGGGTATGATGATTATTGTGTGAGAAATCATCTTATCTTGTTTGACGCAGGATAAAGAGCTCGACGACAAGAGAGAATGGGTGGGTAACAGGTCTCTCACCTCTTAGAAAGCATACTTGGCCGTGGTGGAGATTCATTCATCTGAGCCTCATCGCCGACGGGCAGTCGATTTGCTGTCCATACCGCCTCAAGATAGCGAAAGCGTCAAGCATATCTCCAGCGATGAGCATGGGCCACTATTTCCCTTTATGATTATTCCTTTAAGCTTCATCAACTTATTCGAAACCCATCGGACCGGAACTATGAGCAGAATGGTGCTGATACGAATCGAATATCGTGCTTTGATATTCGAGGAGGAAATTGTGTAGCCTGCCTCTCGCTGACGGAATCATGGATATTCGAGAGCCCTTCGAATCCACAGAAATTTATCGAAACGCAGCCGACCCATCCGTCGAGCATCTTCCTCGGAGCGGAGGATTGCACGAGGCATTCGGCGTCGTTGATAACATCGAATATATCTTCAAGCTCCGTTTTGAGATCATCTTTGACGCTTCTGGCAGTGATTGAGTGCCGATCACGGTGCGAACTCTATTGAGTTTGACGAAGTTGACAAGGTCTCTGAGAAGTCTCAAAAAGTTCCCTTGGGTACATTTTCCCCGCTTCCTGACCTCGACATCTTTCTCCCGTTGGCTGTCGAACGAGACTTCCCAGTACATAATATTCCTTCCGACGTTCGAGCTTATACGGAATCAGTGGTGACAGATAGTCTGAACTTTCAAGAAATCCCTGCAAGGTCTGAGGCGTTGCGACATTGCCAGCCATCCAAGGGACGGGGAAAAGCCCTCGTCCAAGAAAATGTTCGGTGTTTCAGGCTCCTTTGCCAGGAGATTTTACTGCATTCTTCCCTCAAGGGTACCCATCACCCTCGACTAGGAAGACCCGATTGATGATATCTCCTTTCATAAAGCTGCGGCTCGCGTAATCGATGCGGCACCGATTGGTTGACGGATCGGGAGCTGTCTCGAGCGATGGAGCAGAATTCGCAACACTCTACCCCTGTAGATACTCTAAGTGGAAATCTAGCGACCTGCGACGAATCTCCTCCGATGCTCTTGTGATCAAGGTCTTCGAGCTGACGAACGATCTTAATTTTTTTGGAAGCAATCGGAAAGCCGAGGGATGCGAATCAAGGAGGAGCTTCGTTCTAGATTGAAAGGACGGAAATACTTATTTCTGCTCGGACTCAAATCACCCCATGTCGGCTTGTGAATTGATTCGCCGTGTGACAGCTCCCAAGATAGAACTGCATTCCGGAGTTAAATCAATGCTCTGTTTTGTCTTGCAAAATCGCACGGATGTCTGTTTTTGGAACGTTCGGGGCAACAGGAGGAGGATCGACATTCCTCCTCGTATTACGACCTCCGGCGGTGTGAAGTCTGGGTATCGCCGCCATTCCGAGAAATGCCTGGCTTAGGTACACCCGAAAGTGCGAAAGACGGAATGCTGGCGAAACTGACGGGCTTTCCGCGAACGAGTGTGACGTTGTTGACAGCATAACGCATCGATTACCTTTCCGAGACTTGGTCGGGAACAAACCTAAGATTCCGTCGCGTGAGACCCCTCACTTCCGTACAAGAATGCCCAATTTCTCCCCTCCGACGCGGCAATTGAAAAGAGTACGGCTCCTGCTCGCGGCCATGGAGGGGGCGGGCTCACCCCTAAATTAAGGAATGTACGGTACGCATTCAACGCGAAGTCCGTCGACGGCGAATATTTGTCTCACGAGGATAGATTGGGGATCTGTTTGCCCTCAGGTAGGGGGACACCGACGTCGCGCCGCGTCGTCCTGTTCTCGAAACGCCGCATACAAAGCAAAGCAAGTGAACCCTTCAAGGCGCACAGAATACCGCGAGTACGTCGTCGATCTTACTTCTGATATTCGTCGGATACCGCCATTGTTCCCCGAGTTCTCGAGAACTTGGCAAAGCTCCATATTCGGATGGATGCTCCGCGTCGGGACCACGCGTTCCCGCCACGCGAGATTTCCGCAGGATTTTGGTTGACCGCAAGATCGCCCGAGGGAAAGGTAGCGGAAATATGGTATGAAGTTGAGCCTGTAAGGCCCTGATTCGTCGGCGAAACGATTATCCGATGAGACTGTAACTGTTCGGCAGAAGCATGGACAGTCCCTTTCCGACAGAGGTCCGCCGAGGCAGCTGAACACTCGTCTCGGAGCGGCTTCGATGAATAAATAAAAAAAACTCGTCTCGCGACGGCACGGCAACGATACGAGCTGCTTGCGGTATCATTGAGATCGTCTCGATGCATTGAGCGAGCACTCGTTCGCTAACGAATGAGAAGCGACCGAATGCTCCTTCTCTTTCGTTAGGATAAGCATTCGGATCGACTTATCCCGCCGTGAGCTCTACTTTGAGTTAAGCGACACTTTCGGACTTCGATAGTTTTTATTCTGATGGTGGATCGAGCGTAAGTCGTTGTGTTATATCGAGGATCGAGGGGAGGGATCTCGTCGATTCGGAACCGATGCCTCTCGTCTCATCGATCTCGCTGGATCAGAAAGTCCTGGGATTCCTATATATATCCTGCGACTGAATAATTCCTCTATGACGTCAAAGAATCTCAAGAGCCTCGTCGTAATCCACAAGAGCCGCGAGCGGACTCAGGCGCTCGATATTTGTACATACAATATGTTCAGATGCTCGATACACTCGGTTCTGTGTATCTAGGAAACGGCGAGATCAACGACCGTAGGAATGTACTTTCTTAGAATGACCTCACTCGTGACCGGCTTCCTGAATCCATGCAACACGCGGAGCTCCTTCATCTTCTCTCAATATATTCGACCTAGTGTGCATTGCGATCCGCCGACACAGGAAAGTGAGCCTGGCGATCCGCGACGCGGTTCCAGATTGAGGGCCGTATCTGTCCTTTGATTGGGCGCCTCCATTTTCCTCCGGCCAAATATTCTCATTCAACAGTTTGTATGAATCCGTTGCTTCCGTCGAGGAGAACTTTTTCCCCTGATCGGAATAGCTGCGTGGCTCCATGGGCGGCGACGATGCACGGTAAACCGTATTCTCGGGCGACGACGGCTCCTTCACGCGGAGAAGGGGGCACGTTAGTCAGCTAAACATCCGTCTTTCTTGGAAATCGCAGGCTGCGAAAACTCCGACGAACTTACCGTGAGATATGAGTCCTCCAAGCTCGGTGACGACCCCACCGAGAAGCGGGAAATAAGGACTCCAACCGATGTCGGTGGCATAGGTGATTAAGATGTCGCCTTTTTGAATTTGATCAGCGTCGTCTATCGACATCACAACGCGCGCTGTCGCTATCGCGGTCCCTTGCGAAACAGGGGTGCCTTCCATCCGACGAGTTCCCTTGACGTCAAGCGACACCGGAGCCCAATTTATCTGTCAAAGGAGAACTTCGATTCAGAGTCTTCATCGGGGGCCGCCGTCCCTTAGGAAACCGTGCGTCGGGAGGGCACAACACAAAGACTCTCCTTTGTTCTCATGCTCCCTTCCCATCGCGAGCTCGGATTTCCGGAAGGGTGTATCCAAAATAATCTCACCGGCTTCACAGGGAGACCAGTCACATGCTCGGGATAGACGTCCTTCGCCGCTTTTTCCTTTATTCGCATCCGGTTCATGGCTCGGACGATGATTTTTGGAGAGCGCGACTCGATCAATTGGTAGATTTCCGAAGGGACCAAAAAGAACATCAACTCAGGGTCCGGGATCAAGCCCTCCCGGACGAGCTGATCTGCGAGTTGGCGGAACAGCAGACGATACTTGTGGGAAGCGAGTATGAGATTCGACTTGGCTCGCTCTCGATTCGCTATTCCTTTGCGCACTCGTTTCAGGACATATCGAAGCGCGAGACGCTTCGGTAGGTTGAGCTTGATGTCGAGACTCTGGATCAAGTCGTCGAGGCTAGTTTCAGATTTTTCAGCGAGTTCCGTCACTCCAATCATCGACTGGATGGTTTTCACAACTGGGGTTGGATCCATGCCCCACGGTCGGCTCACTAGATCAAACTGAAATGATAATCAAACTATCGATTCGACACGGGAATTTCTCGAGGATAAACCCCCCTGAACTCCTTAGTGGATCGACGAACCAGGGAGGCAGAGAGAGGAGAAGATTTTTCGCGGAAATATGGAAAAGTAAATATCTGAAGACATATTTTGCTGGAGAATTGGTGTCCCACCTCATTGAGGCACCGGTGCCCGTGTTCCTTGAGAAACTTGGTGAAGAGACCGGCGCTCGCGGTCGAATCTTGTCTGAGTTTCTCGAGAGCTTCCTCGACGGGGAGCGTTTTGAAACCAAGTCCATAATCTTCCTGCGCCTGAAGGCTCAGCTTCTGGAGGGAAAGCGGAACATCCGCGCTCACGAGATTGTTGCACGAAGCAACCATTTTCGCGAAGTCGCCGTAAACACGCGCTGTGTAGCCTGACACGGTCGGGGGAAGAGGAAAATTCTGCTATGAGTCTCGAGAGATTCAAAGAAAGTCCTAGAGTCCGGCACTCGACTCGAAACAGTACGCCTAGGGCTCCGAAGGGCTGAAATCTGACCTCCTTCTGAATGCGACAGCAGTGTCAACGCGAGAACGTTGTTGATCGTTCCGAAGAACATTTGTTTCGAGTGACCTTCGAGGGCAGTTTCTTGGAGATCCGTTGAACTCAAAATTCGGATCAGCATTTCTTTGCTCGTCTTACAATCCTCGAGTGAGTGCTCCGTATTCCTCACAAATACTTCCGCCTCCTCGAGGGCTCTATCGGCTTTCCATAAGTCCTGTAACGTGGAAGATCTCGCTCACGGTCCCGTTTCCGGCAAGAGGCTCGCAAAATCTCTCCGGCGGTCACTTACGCGGATGAAGTGGAGCAAATTCGGCCGCATCGGTCGAATGGCGTAGCGCCTCTTGTTCTCGGCTCCGACCTTGACGATTTCGTCGTCAATTATGCGGCCACACATTGATATCGAGAAACCTTTCGATATGACGTCATCTCGGGTATAATCTGTCATCATCTGCAAATAGAGCTCCTAATTCATTTACCCACCTGCTCGGGTAGGTCGAGGTCCCATCATCGACTCGGATTGTTTGATCAACGTTACAGTTTTTCGGAGGGGTTCGGACGCCTTACCGTGAAAGTGCCGAAAAAGCATTGAGCATTTTGACGGAAAAAGAACTGATCTCTCGAGAAATGCGCCTCGTACGGTTTCAACCCTTGCATCTTCACGGTCATGGCCTGAAATCCGGGGATCATGCCTATTCTCCAGTTTTTCATGCCGTGGTAGAATAATCATCAGAAGCGTAAAAGTCGCATATATCTGTTCGAGCACATTCCTCTCGCTGAATGATGCTTCGACTCACTTTGAACATACGACAGAACGATCTGAACGTGGTGTCGAGCGTCAGCGGTGAGGGGCTGCCGCCGAAAACTTCTCCCACGTTTGCTTTCGATAGACAATCGTATTCGCACACAATTCCCTCGTCGGTCTCATGATATGATTCGAATTCAGAATCTAAAACGTGAGCTGAGGTCACTGGACGGGCTTGGAGCATGAACAACTGACCCCCGGGAGCGAACGCCCATTCGGTATCTCGTTGAGACGCGTAGTGCTCCTCAACCGCCCGAGCCGCCGCAGCCAGCTGAGACAGACGATCCTCGGTCAGACACGCTTCCGAGCTCCCGTCCCGCACGTCAGTGATATCTTGGGTTCCGCCTCCGTCGAGCATCACGGTGCGGAGTTTCTTTGATCCGATTGAGGAGGAAATCACTCGTCCTCCCGAGGGTGTTTTCTCCAAGACGAACGTATCGGGATCAGCTGTGGCGGCAACAACGCTCTGAAAAATTGGTGCAGTGAGCTTTATCCGGATCGTGATGATCCCTGAAGCGAAGAAGCGGCTCGCTTCGTGCTCTGTGATTGAATCCGATGCGATCACATGGATCAGAGATACGGATTGAACAAACCTCCCCGAGCCCGTAATTCGCTGTGACTGTTATGTAGGCGGGGTTAGACGTGACTGGATCCACGGTGAACATGACTCCGGAAACTTCGGAGGGAACCATCTCTTGTATGCAAACAGCCATAGGGCAATTGACGGGCTGTCCGTACCGTCTGGGCAAGAAAAATCCAATTTCAATCCGGACTCGATGTCAAGCAAGTGGGAGAACTCGTGATCCATGTTCGATATATTGTCGGAGTCCTCACCTTCTGTACTGAACTGCGACGAAAGAGAATTGGCTCGCCCAACATTTCGCCACCGATTCGAAAATTTTCGAGAGGCCTTTGACTCCGAGCAATGTTTCCATTTGACCAGCAGCCGACATGTCCTCCGAATCTTCTCCGCAAGCAGAGGATCGCACGGCGAATTTCGTGGTGTCGACATCTTCGAAAATTCGACGTAATTGCCGCTCGATATCGCCTCTCACTTCGAGCGGGAGCGGCTGCCTCCCGATAGTGGATACCGCACTACACGGGAATGATTGCATAAGAAAAACTCGGGCACAAATTACGGATGTGGCCTGCGGTTCCTAGCGAACTATCTCCGAGAGTAGCGACTTACTTTTCGCAAATTCTTCGTAATTCATCGGCCCGTAATTGATCGACGATTGAGCTCTGCAGATGATCGATCGCTCCCGACACTTCCCTCTGTCCGATGAATTTCGAGTATGCTTCCGTCGTCACTGCGACACCTCTGGCGACTTTGAACTGTAATCGAATTATTTGATTCCAATTAAGACCGGCGCGGAGGAAAAATGGAGCCATAGCGATTCGTGGCGCGAAATCGATGCGCATGTATCCTCAGGGTCGCTCACTTTTTTCGACTCGGAGGCGAGCTCGGTCAGAACCGCCAGAGAGCTTGCTTTTCCTCCGGTGAGACTACCGTCAGAACAGCTTGCATCCTCGAAGCTCACAACGTTCGATGTGCTCCTCGGCGACGTGTTGATCATGTGCTTCGCAACTTTGGGAATCATAGGTGTCACCCGAGTCCTTGGAATAGGGCAGAATAGAATTGTGAAGACAAGTATACTTGCACACTCGCGCGCAGTCAATCTTCGTCACAGGCCCCACACAACCTCGTCGGTTTCCAAGCATTCGAGTTCGCGTCGTGGTCTCCCCCCTCGCCCACCCCCTTTACGTACTACAGCGTCATGATTCGATTGTAGCCCACTCACCCGAGTCCCCCTATAAAAACTCCGAACCCTTCTCTATCATCCAGAGACATTTTGAAGAAGCGAACTTCTCTTCTTCGATACTCGGAGTTGAACTGGACGATAAAACTGGAGTTTTCCAACTCTTCGAGTAGCTGGACTTTCATCGAAGGCAACTTATCTGCAATCGTAAAGCGTCGATATCAAACGGAGTTCTGAGCAAAATCCAAATTCTATGAAATTCTTTCATCCCTTCCTGCATTTGAACACACTTGCCGCTTTGCAAAACGAATTCATTCCGTATCCGGTCGCCGTTCATGATATTCTCGGTGATTCTATCGATGGGGGTGTGGACGAAGGAGGGGTAAAGAATCGCCCCAGACGTCAACGACGGTGAGAGATTGGCGATTCTCGAAGCTTCAACGTAACATGAAATCCCATTCTGTCGGTGGAAATCTAGTTAGGACCTTACTATCGCTGATCTATTGCTGATCCGAGAAGAGTATTCGCGAGAGAAAGAGCTTTCGGGCATTGTCTCGAGACGTCCCGCCGTACCCTCGTGTATCCCATAAAGCAGCCGAGCGACTCGACAGCTGATGACTCTTTTTCGTGACTTCTCGTCTTCTGTCCAAACGCATAAACTTCTTCCTCGTAGCTCTCAGCTCCTGGGACATTTTCTCTCGTTCGGAGTTTCCCCACAAACGAGTAAGTCTGAACCAGAGTATCGATTTCCCTAAGGTGATCGTTTAAACTCTCGGGATTCGATACCAGAGGGAGCAACTCGAGTGATGGATTCTTACACAGAGTGAGAGCCAAGTGTCTTTCTGATTGGAATCCACCAAGATCAGCTAAGTTATTGATGAAGTTGGCGCTGTGGAGAATAGCGATCATGAGCCTCGAAACTTCTGAACCATCAGGAAATTCACACCGGCTCAAGAACTCACGTGAACACGAAACGAACATGCTCGTCTTTCCCCGTGGCTTGGTTTCTGTGGAAATCACACAGATTCTCCTTAGTTTCGGGGCAGCTCCGGAATATTGACCATTCTTGTAGGGAGTTCTTCAATACCCGTGCCCTGATGCGAATATAAAATGATGAACTATCATTAAGTACCTGAGGAGTCCATTGAACGATATTCTCCAGCGGCGCATGGGTATCACACACTCGAGCTTGAGGCCATCGATGGCGAACGTGTCCTCCGTTGACAGATCTACGCTCAGCTCTTTCGTGAAAACATAGGATGCCGCAAGAGTTCTGAGATAGAGGAAAAGTGAAGCGATTCTGTCAGATTTCCTGGCGAAGTTAATCGCCAGCATTTGTCCCGAAGGCGACGTACAGAAAATCGCCACTTTGTCATCGATTTTCTTGGCTTGCAATCGTTTGGTAGGGTACGGCCATTCCTCTTCGAACTCGCGGGGATTCGGAATCGCTCCGTAAACGAAAGGATCTTTGCTGAGGAGATCAATCAGCGGGGCGAATCTCATTTTCCTCGAGTTTCTCGAGATCCACAGAATGATCCGAAGAATCACATATCGGAACCAGGGAATCCAGTCCAAGTTATTCGGTTCCGGTGGAGCACACATGATCGCGATGAGAGCACTTCTCCGGCGGTCGGCTCTCAACTAGTCGACTTGAACAATGAAAACCATCAACTGGTGGCTCCTTACGGACAACGATATCGTCTACGTCACTACGCGGATAGGCGTAAATCCGTCTCACGCTGCCGGTAGTGTCTCCGCGTAGATGGAGGACCTAAGGTCGTTTCGTGGTCGACCTCCCGCAAACTTCTTCTGTCACTCAAAACGAACCCGAATGCCGGCCAACTCGCTTACGTAAATCAGTTGTCATCTCGAATCAGAAAGAGCCGAGACTGCCCTCACCCCTTCCACTCCGTTCCGAAAGTGACGACCTTGATGGCGACCATCACTGGCGGAACAGAAATTGCTGTGGAGAACATCATTTCTTTCAATGTTTGTCTGTCGTCGCACCCTCTCTTCCCTCGTGCTCCTTTATACATTCACTGAGAGCCATAGGAAGATTCTGTACAATCTATACAGAATCATTCCGTTGGACAAGGCGACTCGGTGAGGATGAGGTGTCACGCCAGCGCGGAGCCTACTTCGCTCTCGCTTAGCTTCTCCGAGAAGACAGTGCCCTCGAGTGATTTCTGCTTTCTGATTATCTCATTGCAATCACCTCGTCGAATCTCCCGGGAGGCGTATCCGATCACTGACAAGAGATAAAGGCGGCTTAATCATGAGGCGGACAGAAACGCTAGGATTTAGCTTGCACGCGAGGCTCAGATAATCAATACGACAGTCGTTCGGATGTCAAGCCTTTCGGTGAACTTTCATCTAAGTCGATGGAAGGCATGGCGATCAACTCGAGATATTGTTCATCAGGGAATCTGCCAACGCCCAGCGAACGGGAGCGAAGCGGCGGGTATCTGGCTGAGGGATCCGAACTCGCCTCGCACACCAGCTCTTGGTAGAATTCCAGTGAATCGCCTCAAGGTGAGAGAATGGCCGACCGGAAATATGATTGAGCTCCCACCGAAAGATAATATGTTCGGCTGCTCCTTATCCGAAGATGGGATTCCGAACGAGCGGAGCCATTGATCCTTGCGGGAGTGCGTAGACGCGAGCCAGGAATGATTCCGAAGCCGCCGAACCGTCATTGGCAGTCTGGTGAAATAATTCGGTCGTTTCTCGATTGTGTGTACGCCTTAGGCGAACAAAATTCTCTCCCACTAATTGTATAGTTCGCTGAACCATAAGATATCGGCTGTTTATCGAACGGAGAGGAGCCCCCGCAAGGAGTGGATCCTCATTATCGCGAGATCGCTAGCTTACTGTATCGAGCGGCCACTGAATCTTTGAAAGAATTTGCAAAAGACAACGGCACCACGCTGTCGCCTGCCAATAGTCTTATCGATCAATCGGGGATTGAGATCCTAGAACTTGCAGCGTCATTGGGTGTTGGAGAGGCCAAACGTTGACGAGTTTTATCTCTGAATTACATATTTCAGGGAGTGACGCTTCCTCAAGAGTTAAAGGAACTCGGCGCACACAGTGCCCGTTAGACGGACAGCGGGATTGGAACCAGGCTCCCTCAATCAATGCCTAAGAGGACTTGAACATGTGAAGCCCGACTTGCACCTGGGCCTTCTCGACCTCGATCGTATCCGAGCCCGCGGTCGCCCCCGACCTGGAAGGAGAAATGAGGCTGTCGAACATTCGAATTTCAATCGTGGGTTTCGGGTATTTATTCGGTAACTCGTAGAATTACGAGTCTAACTCTTCGGGGACAGCCGTGGTCTCCTGTGCTTTGCCGAGAACAATAGCAGCGTTGAAAGCTTGTTTGAGGAATCGACTCCCAGAAGGGATCTGGGAAGAACACGAGCTTTGTTGGCTGCGCCAGTTGAGCTCAGAACCACCGCGGAGACTCTCTCGATCGTTCCTCTGTAGAGAGCGCACTTGCCTCTGGGCGACGATCACAGAGTTCTGCGAGAATGAAGCACGTAACGAGGATTCTCTTCCGCGAGGAGGCGGGAAAAACGCGCACCGCGAGACGATTACTCTGCCCTCGGCTCGCGGAACTCGATTAAACCGACAATGAGCTCGAAATTTCCGACGCAGTCAACCCGAACCGTTCTGGAGCCAGCGTACAGGGAATGGAGGTTTGGATGGATTTTTCAGGCTGCATCACACCGTGAAATAGGGAAGTTTCATCAAAGCGAACATTTGGGAACATGACAGCGCAGGTGTTGGGAAAGCGCGACCCACAGAGACACGCCCGCCGCTGGCGTCTTAACTACCAATCCTGGTCATGATATTTCCTATCAGACGATTTTCATTTCTCAGATACAATGGACCTGTCAGCTGGGAGCTCGATCCTTCTCAGGTGTTGTATGTAGATTGGCAGCAACTCGTTGTGAATTCGTTCAGACTTCGGCTTGACTCTCGCGGGATTTCTGTTAGCTCAGCGGATCATCGAACCCTGGCTAGGGGACCCGGGGCATCGGCGATTTTTTAGGCAGAACTTTGCTCGATCGCCCGGATGCTCGAGTATGTGGCTCGAATTGCTCTCCTTCTCCCACGATGAATTCGACATCGAGGTTGATCGGTTCTATCGTGGATGGCACACATGTCGAGGAATCGAGTCCCGCGTTCCGCCGTCTTCGTGAAGCCTCTCGTTCCGTCGAGTAGAGTCTCGTCCCCTGACCGCAACGAGCGGGTCTCTCCATAAACCGCGAAAACTTAAGGCAAGCAATGCTCATGGGCCATGAGAGCGTCTTGAAATCAGAAATCATTCGAACTTCTCTTTTCTGAGTAGCAGGAAGCGTATAAAATTAGATTCGCCATTAGGAATCGAGTAGTGAGTGATAAATCCACGTTGTTTCCGAACAGAATTATCGAGCTAGGCAAATGCTCATGGGCATCATGGAAAGGGATGACAGCGCGAGCGACCCGCCTTCTCGGGATACCAGAGTTCACTCCAATCGCCGAGATCTATTATGTGCCTACCGGTTCGAGAGGCAAACCTGGCGAAAGTTCAGGATAAATATACTCGCTAGCCCGGTCCCAGCCCCATTGACGGAGAGTCGCTCGAACGACGATTTCCGGAGAACGAATTTCTAGCAGCTGTAGAATCCAGGACGGGGCTAATAGAAACAAAAAATCGGGGCCGTGAAGAAAACTTTTGCGCTCCATTCGATCCACCAGCTGGCGGAACAGCAGTCGATATTTGTGAGTGGCCACGATGAGGACAATCTTGCCAAGCTCTCGGATGGCAATGCCCTTCCGCACTCGACGGCTCAAAAACCTCAATGACTCTCGCCTCGGATAATTTAGTTGATCTTACCCGCGGCCAGCAGCTCGTCGGAGGGATAGCTTCTTTTCAGCAACTTGATCAGGGGTTCCATGGTATGCTCAAATCATTGTCCTGACTACGGGGAGCGGGCTCGTAGCCGATAAACATTACATAGGATCATTCGCAGGGGCGCAGATTTGGAAACTGAGCATCAGCGTCTATCGACGAGAATCTGAAGGTTCTGTCCATTGCGCGAGACGGTCATATGATATCGTGGGACGAAACCATTCCTCGGCAAGACACCACAGTCCGTGTTTTTCCAGGAAGCCTCTGAAGAGCTCTGATGTTAGGGTGGAGTCGGTCTCCAGCGATTCGAGTGCGTCTCCGGGCAAGAGATCCTCCAAACTCGAACCATAGTCGCTTGAAGCTCGGAGATTGAGGGCTTGGAGTAATCGTGGAACATCTGCACATTCCACGTAGCCGCAGGAAGCCACCATTCTCGCGAAATCCGAATAAACTGTCGGAGAGAAACCTTGAAATAAATCGCCCAGAGGCAAGTTCGTGCATGTAGAGATCGGGTTGAGGACCAAGTTGGATATGTGTTCGGAGCGGCTTCCCAAACTGATACTCACCGCCCTCCGCACGCGAAAATGAACTGAGAACCAGACGCTGTGGATCGTTCCATGAAACAATTGGCTCGCGTGCAACTCTTACACCACTCGTTGCAACATTGGTGACCTCATGGTTCGGACTCGGCAAGAGCTGCAGTCATTTAGTGTATATTCCGTCTCTTCGATGGATTCTCCAGCCTCTGCCAACTTTTCTTCCGCCGACCCCATAAACTCGAGAGGGGGAAGGCGAGGCTCTGCTGTAGAATGACGCTGATTCGCTGATTTTTCCGAATTGTACGGAGTTAAGATTTCTACACTGGGGGGGGGGTCCCCACTCTCGAGAAAAGGCTTCCCATTCTTCAAGACCTTCAGACCTCGTGAGTGCGCCGTGTGCGGGTCAAAAACGTAAAACTATCAACCGAATGGACCCTCGAAAGAGGAAATTGTGCAAGCGATGAAGGTCAATTTTTCCTCCATCTTGGGAGGAGGCAACGAGGACGGATCCTACAATAGGTTATCGTCACGGGCGTGGAACTCCCGTTGAGAACCTCGCCGACATTTGCCTTCGAGAAGCAATCGTATCCGCTCCCGAGACCCCCGTCGCCCTCGCGATGCATCTCAAACTCCGAGCCGAGGACAAGCATCGAGATAACAGGACGAGTCTGCAGCATGATGAGTTGTTCGCCCACCAAGGCCCACTCACTCAGTCCATCTATGGGACGCGAAATGTTATCCAATCGCGAGAGCTGCGTCGAGACGGTTACTTTCATCGAGCCAAGTCTTCCGATCTCGACCTGAAGTGTTATCTCGCGAATTCTGCCCTCCTTGAGCGAGGCAGTTTCTTTGACCCGATGGTCCCGCTAGACAGGCACTCGCAGCTCATCGGTAGTTCTCCTAAGCTCACAGAAGCTGGGGTCGGTGCTCGCGGACACAATTCCCTGCAGGGGAAACATCTGATTACAGGGAGAGCGCCACGTTCCATCACTAGAGCTCCGATCGGGCTAGGGAAATTTTCAATTCATTGAATAGGTGTTTCTGAATGCTCCGGGGCTGTCCGGTGGACGCCTGCGGGAACAGTATTTCGCCCTAGATGAGGCCGAAATAATGCTGGTGGTATGTCCAATGGTTCTTTGTCGACTCTCTCCGCATGAAGTTAACGCTTCGATTCCGACAAACCGTTGATACTGCTCGGTGCTAGAAGGAACTGACTGGACCAGCACACGGGTATGGTCTCGAAAATTTCCGGCAGTCCCAACGTTGTTCCCATCTGACCAGCTGCGGACATATCCTTCGAGTCTTCCTCACAAGCTGACGATCGGATCGCGAATGTGGTGTCATTCCAGGCCTCGAGTTGAATCGTGAGGTGATTCTCAAGGTCGTCGCCGATGGACTGCGGCAGCGGCTGGCGACCGAACCAGGAAACCGCTCTGGGAGAATCCATGACGGTGTAAATCGGTCGAAACGGCGCAATTTGACTTTCCACCGGAGCGAGATCCATTCGCCTCGCAAGCAATAGAGGTCACTGTGAGTCCTCTGGGCACTAGAAAGTTCGAGTAAAAGAGCGGAAAGAATCCCGAATCGGAGAGCGTCGTTACGAGCCGGAGTTCCTCGAGACGATGCACGGAGTTGCGGTTGATTCCTTTCGAAAGTGGGGAGCTGACGACGTCCCCGTGGTCGACGGGCGAGCCTCAGCGGCATTCGAGCTCGCTTCGCCCCTTTTCAGATTCCGATCCATACACATCACATTTCCGGAACTCGGCGCTCTCGCAGCCGACTCCTTCGACGAAAAGAACGCGACCCCCTTCATCTTCCAGTTTCATTTGGAGCAGCGAATCTTGCACTACCGATTCTCGGTGTTCACGCTGGTGGTGAGCGAGCTTTCCCAAACTCTTCTCGAATCTCCAGCACCGGAAAGCCGTCTTCAGAGAGACTATCGGGAAGAGCGACGACGGCTACAGAGGTTGCTCTGTATCCGAGCGGCCAACGATTGAACACGGGTCCGCCTCGTCGTTGCTAGTAATTCTGCTGTCTGTACCTCGAGGTTTTTCCTGACAGCTCGTGGCGTTATTGTGTGTCGCGGAGCCTAATCGATCCTGCAATGCGCGTGCTAGAGATACATAGATTATCACCCCTAACGTGAGACACGTTCCTCGGCCCGGTCGTAGAGCTATCTTTATTCAACATACAGAGAAGATCGGTTTGCGAATTCATGCGATCGAGTTCTGTGTTCAGAGGGTCGACGGCAGGCTCCTCAGTGAGGTGAGGAGATTTGAGCTGAAGCCCTCGTATGAGCCACGTCGCTCCGTGGCATGCGACCGCTGACGATTTCTTCTCACCGCTCGTGATTTTTCGTCCGAATGCTCACAGTTCTTGTTCTTACCCCGGTCCCCCGGTCTCAGTCGAAATTCCTCGTGTTTTTAGTTCGCCGTCAACAGAGAAAGGGGTGAGTTTGCAGCGAGCGGTCAGTTGCCTTACAATCAAGGTTGAAACAGCCAAGATTGAGTGAAACCCGCCATAGACCAAGTATGAGAGATCGATTGGTACAGGGTTGAGGAGCGAGCAGACGTTCGGAATGGAATAATCCGACGGCCGCGATTTTTTTGGGAAGTTTTCACTGGAAAGGAATCCAAATGGAACTATTTGATGACGGCTGAGAGACTTCAGGAACAGGGCGATCCCAGCGGAAGATAGGAATATTCAGATTGGAAAATCAAAGACGGCCCAAGTGATCATCATGCCATTCTCTCCTGAGTCGCTGCGATGCGACGGGGAACTGGAGAGACGAAAAGTTTATCCCTACTCCTCCACGGTGAAGTTCGGGTGTCGATTGGAAGCGACTCCGAAAATCCTGGTTCTTCACCTGATCCTCTGCATTCCGGCGCAATCCACCTTGATCAGCTGATCAATTTCAAGTTACGTCCAGACCTCAGAGCGATGATGTAAGCTCAAACTAAGAGGGACCTTAAGAAGGAAGAGGCCAAGGGCACACTCTGTAGTTGGCTCTTTCTCAGCTGCTCCCATGGTTCAGGAATAGCCAGAATGAGGGTATCGTGCCCGGGAGCCGCGTTCGACTCTCCTACCGGACCCGGAGGTTCATGGTAGGACTCCGCGCCGAGGCGAGAAAGATCTGGACAGCATATCGGGGACTTCGTTTTATTCCTGCCGAAATCAGAGGACTATCGGACTATGAATCCGATCTTGGATTTGACTATTCGGGAGTCTCTTCTGGGACACGATGCGATATGAATCATCCGCGAACAGTCTTGGCGACTGGGAATGGACCATTAGGGCATAGTGAGCTCGTCGCGGAGACATCTTCTGGCGTTTGCATTCTCATCATTGAAGAACAGGACTATTGATATACATATATTACACTCCTCGGCCTCTGGGAGCTCCTCCCCGACCTCGTAGACCACCTCGTCCACGGAAATCTCCGCGTCTTCGTCCACCTCGCCCTCCGCCTCCGTTGTTTATGTCTTCTTTGACCATTTCGATCACCTCGTCGGGTATGCGGAGAAATCGAATGGTGTTACCCCTGACGTAGCACTCGGGAATCCGCCAGAATTTGTCTCCTTCCTGTTCAAAGGGGCATCGGTGAGGTCGGTGAGTACCATATCTCTGGAGAGAAATCTGCAGGTGGGATATATTCCGATATGAAGTCTGCCCGTAGGACTGAAATTTGGTGGAAGCATACCCTTGACGTACAGATTACTTCTCTGAGGTTGATATTCATCCAGTTGTCACAGCTGACTAGATGACCGTTGTACGTTTCCCCATTTTTTAACTCCACCAGCTGTAAGATAGCCTCATATCATCAAGAGAAACTCAAACTCAAACATACGGGTTCATTCCTCGGATCCTAGCCAACAGAACGAGCCGTAATGCCAGCTAGAGCATCTTTTACGACTCCCTCAGAGGATTCCGTCGCTAATCGGACTCACTGAACAAATTTGGAGTGTACAGACTTGGATCGAATTCTGAAAAAGCCAGATTAACTCACCATCGGATGATTCTGAGCGGTTCTCAGGAGCGACAAGGGGAGCTGTAGAAAAAACGTAGTACCCAAAGTTAGCGATCTTAGCCTGAAGCACCAGACGTAAGGGGGCTAAACGCTCAATATGCCTTTACGTAACGTCCGACCGAATGTTCCATACCATTTTCGCAGAGAGAGGGATTCTCCCCGGGAAATGTTCCTGCTCGCGAATCGGGGGCACTATTTCACACTTTTCGTTTGAGCGCCGCGGGACCTCCTCCCCGCCGACTATGATAGTGTTTGTTTACGAAACTCTCTATGCGGCTGATCGCGATCGCGCGCTGAATCTCACACGTGAACTGAAAGCTCTGCGCCAATGGTCTACTCCCTTGATTTCGTCACGGAACAGGGAGGATGGAGACGCTAGTCCTTGAACACACAAGACCGGAATTGAATCCGACGGATTCTCGCTGGAAAAGGCCCGGACTTCGGCGAGAGCGGTAGAACACAACCGTGCTTCCCGGCGAGTCGGCATTTACCGTCTGTCAATAGAGCACCAGCTGCGGGGTGAGAGACTCTCATAATAATATGCTCACGATACGATTCTTCTCGTGAGGGGTCGTGGAGTCTTAAGCCCAAGTATACTGCGGATATTTTCCGCAAATCTAGTATCTGGAGGAAACTGCTCTATGAGACATCCGACGCAGAGAGAAATCGAAGGAATCGAATGAAGAATCAATGTCTCACGGTGGCTATTGGTACGAGTTCCTCCGAGAGGACTCTCGCTCAGCTGACCGGTGCTAGTGCGTGAAGTTCGACATCCCAGCGCGAATAATCAAAACGAACACTTTCTGCGCCGAGATTGGAAGGTTGGTGCTCGAAACAGATTTGATCCAAACAATCCAGAAGATTTGTTGAACACATTCTCCTAAACTGCTGCCCGCGGCTACAGCTGTTCCGAGGCCGTACAGGGTGACACATCCTCGATTTTCTTCTCCTTGAAGTTTTTTCCAAGGGTATCCGGCGAACGTTGTACACTAGAGAAGCGTTTGGGATCACGCATACAAAAATGGGTTTCGGGTTTGGGAGGTGTGTCGTGATACGACGTTAGTTACCCTGGCGAGTGATAGAATCGCTTGTTCCCGCAGGATGCAGAGCTCGTACGAATGGTCTCTCAGAGCCGACAGGAGCAACGATGGAAAATGGCAGCAGGTAGATCTCCAAGACGTATTCCGGGAGTCGGAAGCTACAAAACTGTGGTTTTACCTCCTGGCAGACGGAGAAATAAACGCTTGCGATCCGAGCCGAGGTGAGAAAACGTTTGGGTCTACTGAGCGCCCTCGAACCAGATTCGTGCAATTAATTATTATCAACCAGCGCGATAGAACTCATGGAGTCATCCCTTTCAGGATGCAATGGGCGCCATGGGAGCGCCATGTGCGAAAAATGCTTCCCGCTCGCAGGTCCGTCGGAGGACGCTGAAGGTTACCTCTGCTCCGCACGCTTCATGGACAGTTGGACGTGGTCTGATCGACCAAGTAAGTCCAGCAGATGAAATCCCACTACATCACGGAGCTCTATGGAGTGGGATTTCAGCTCTAACATTCGTCACGTCATCGCAGGTGCCGCTCACATCGGCAAATATCTCAACGAGCTGGAAAACGAGGAATATTCGATAGCTTGCGAGTCTGCCTGCACTACGTTATGGTCCCAGCGCTTGCGTCAACAGCTGGTTCTTACCGAAAGATTCTTCCTCGCTCACAAACGACTCGCGAACGAGGCCCCCGGAAGCTCGTCCGGCAGGAAGAACTGCCCGGGAAATTTCACAAAGCAAGCGTAAGCGTACAATCGACGCGGAGATTCCATCGGAGGCGATTTTGCCGAAAGAAAAAATTAATGACTGAAAGCCTCGACCATATCCGTTTTTGTTTGCAGCTCAACTGAAGCCCAAGCCACGAACTCTGGCTCGACTAATGCGGCGAATGCTGATTTCGCCGAGGCGAAACCAACGGAAGCTTTAGCTCGCCTTGGTTCTAAAGCTGCGTTGGGATTCGCGTTTGCCTTCCTCAAACGCGCTTGGCGATGCGGCGAAGATGGAGATCTATGCTCTGATCTGTTACGGGACGCTCTACAGGCACTTCAGGTGCTTCCGCCAGCAACTCTCTTCCGGCACGAGAACTCTGTGTGGCTAGAAGTAGTTGCCATGAGCCACAAATTCCTCCGGAACGTGATTTTGGGGTGAGTTTGTCGGTGAGGACCTGTGGGCGTGGACGCTTCCGAATATACAATCTCGTTCTACGATTCCTTCTCACTCTCTCTGAAGGGAGTTGAACATGAACGTTCCCGATGTGGATCGTCAGCTTGCCTTGCGCCTGATGTTCGAGTTGGTTTTGCAACAAGCGTCTCTGAGCCAAGTTTTGTCAGCTGTACAATTGCTCTGGATGCTGTGGGGTAAAGCCGACAACCGTCAGCCACGAGCGATGTGTGCGCCGCTCGTCTCCGTTCTCAAGAAGTTCCATCGCATAGCTGACGAAAGCGAGGTAGGTTTGTCGAACCCACAATGTCCCGATCGAGTCTCCCGACTTCGAAATCCCGCAATCGTTCCGGATGGAAGGCGGGAAACCCAACCAAGTAACCAACCTGCGTGCATATGCAACAGTGGCCGAAGGACGATGAGCGCGTCAATCCGAATCGCGCATTGCTGCAATTTCTCACCTTGCCGACGGTGGATTCGGATGCTGGAGGCGAGGAAATTCTGATTGATCTGAAGCAATGCGCCATGATCATCATGGCGCTGCTGGACAAGATGGCTGCTCCTCACCTCCCGAAGTCTCTCAAGGGCCGAGAAGACATTTACAATCCTGTGAGTGGAATTTGCTCGCGCATTGATATCGACCACCCAGGATCGGGTCGGCCACTCTTGAATCGAAGCCCGAGTTTTTCACCGCTTTTCGCTCATCCGATAAGAGAACGCGATCTTTTCACAGCCCTCCGAGAAACGACAGCAGATTTTCTACTCTGGTAGCCGTCGGATTTGTAGCAGTTACGAAGAAACCCAAGAACCCACACTCTTGAGCGATCTGCACTTCGACGTGAAAGACGTTGTGGCTTGTGATTCATGGATGATCTTTCTCGGGAGAGACGGAAATATATACAGACAGGACTTCGATGCGATGTTTTTGGTAAATGCACGGAAGCTCAGTTTCGCCATGAACCCGAGATCCGTTCCCATCTGGAGCCGATTCCGCGCCATCGATCCCCCGAGGATGGGTTCACCAATATTTTTTTTCAGTTCCCCCAACACCTAGTCCACGTGAAGGAGAAGATGAATCTCATATGCTGTAATCAGAACGAAATGTTCGCTGTTAGCGTTGAGGGAAAGCTTTTCAAATGGTCTCTGAAAGACGCAAGGTTTGTTTCTTCGAGTACCAGAGGCCAGAATTCTCCTCAAAATTTCTACTCGTTGATTGAGGATACGGACGCTGAATGAGTGAAATCGACCTGGACGCGGAACCTTATATTCCTTTCTAGTGATATAAGACGGATACCGAATATCCCGGATGGTATTGAAGCCATGGATACCTGTCAGGAATACTCCCTGTTGATTTGTGGCAAGGGACAGCGTTTGATAGTTCTAAAAGCTCACGAAGAAACACCGGGTGAAGTTAGGAACCTAGGCAGCGCCCGTTTGGTAAAAGTCACCATCGGACAAAACGTCAACCTGGCTCTAACCCAGCACGGTAAACGCTCGATTCGTCGATGGCATATCATTGAATCTGTAATCGACGTCCTCGTTTTCCCCTTGTATCCCGGATTTCACATTTTCTTCCCAGGTGGGTTGTACATCTGGGGCAGCGATCAGCCCTTCCCGGAATTGAGTTGTCTCCACCGGAACGTGGAGAACATTTTCGGCGGTTTCGGCCGATGCATAGCGCTTCATAGGGACGGACCCATGTACATGTGGACCAGCTCGTGTCATTCTCCGATTCATCTCGAGAGCGTCATGAAAGGCCTGAAAACAAAGCACTGCGAACTGGGGCCAACGCGATGCGTGTTCGTCGCGGAAGATGATTCCTACTGGTTGTGGGACTATCAGACCCCCTCCGCCAACCGGCTAAACAGTCTCGATGGTGTGCCGTTTGGTGGGTTGTGTTGTCGATTTGCCTCGGTGAGTGAGATTGATGTAGAATTCATTATGAGCTAAATTTCATTGGGTGAGGGGAGCTTCGACACAGACGAGGGTTCGAGTACATCGGTCATTTATTGAATCTCATAGGATCACAATTTGGGTTCCTATTGTTTCCTAAACGATGACTAGGTCTGGGAAAGTCCTCTTTTCTGCGAGAGGCTGGTAAACAGACGAAAAATATTTGTGACATCTAAACGTGGCTGGCAGTTCCACTTCGGGAAAGTTATGATCTATTGAAAGACGTATCCCTTAAATCAAAACACGGGACGGGATCACAACATTCGGACGACGTTTCCATGAACGCCAAGTGGTCGATATGCGTTGAAGTTTTCTGAAGGTGTCGAAGACTCCCACGCGACATCTTCCTCGAATATCTCATGGGGAATGGACAGATTCTAACACAGGACCTCGCTGCCGGAAGCAGGAAGGTCCTGCTGCTCTGGTCGGGTGTGTGCTCTTCTGGCAATACTACTGGCCTTCATTGTTGCTATGATAGGCGGATGTCGAACATGTTGATGGGGCTGAGATCTCGATTGATGAACTGGCTGGATTTCGTTCATTTCAAGCCTAAGAGCTTTTCTGCAACTCCCAAATAGTATACAGTCTGAGCAATACCGAAAAGTGGGGCAATGACGATCATACGGCACCCAGCTCCTTTGAAAAATGCTCTCGGTCCCTCGTTTCTGATGATTTTCCTGTGAAGGAAATATACGCTCGTCGTATCGGAATTGTAGGGACTACAACTCGGTCGGGTAGAATCATGAAAAAATAGAGACCCGAAGTTTTGTGTGAACTTACGCAACAGCGTCCGCGACGCCATTGTAACTCTCCTCGCCGGTTCCTTTGGTCAGAAGCTGGAGCCTCGTTTTCACTACGTCGAACGGATTCACGGAGAACGCTGCCGTCGAGCCGGCTGCGCATCCTGCTATGAAGCTCGCCCAAAAAACTGTTGTTCCGTCATCTCGTTTGGGTCCTAACTGATTCAAATTGGCAAATAACGGGAAGTAGATCATTGAGAAGGTAACGTCGCGCAGCATCGTCGCTCCCGTTCCCTTGTACAGGCCGGCGATACCCTTGGCTTTGATCAGATCCATCGCGATTTTCGTGGCCGAAAGCTTCGGCGTTTTGTTCCCTGACGCTGGATGTAGAATCAGTCGGTCAGGAGAAGGCTTCTCGACTTTCGCTCCATTCAATAGGAACCAATCAGGGCGGCATATCGATCATATCGACTCACCGAGTCTCCCTGCATCCTGCAATTGAATTTTGAGCAGCTCCATGGGCGTCGTGATGACGATCTGGCAGAAACCTGCGCCCCCTCCGGCAAGCATTTCGTTCGTTAACGAAAGTTTACTGCGGAATCAAATCGAATCGAGGTTCAGCGAGAGTAGAAACGATCGTCGGGTCACATCATCCTTCAAATAGTCAAACCTCGTGAGGGTGGGAGAGATACTCCGATCTTTGCACCTACTTCGTTTTCGGGTTCGTGAGATGATGTCGAAAAAAGTCGTTCGCCGTCAGTTTGATGGCTTTCTCCGGAGTGATCAGCAGAATGTTCACCGCAGACCCTCTATACATCCCGAAATATCCTTCGCGAGCGAACGTTTTCCGGAAACAGTCCAACATCGATCTATACTGCGCTTCTCCATTGGGACCGATCTGGAAGTTGAGGGATCTGTCAAGCTGCTGGATTCCTTCACTCAAAAAATACTCCGTCGATTAGTGCGGCTCGTCCCTCCCTGGAATCTGTCTCTGACGTCTCGGCATTCGCGTTTGCGAGGCTCAGACTGCCCGAGGAACGGCACGTAAGATGGCTGAAAGAAACTGAGAGCGACTGCGCGTGTGTTCGACGTGACTCGGACGTCCACGCCCGACGTGACTCGTCGATTGCGAATGCTGTGTTACGGGAGTAGCCGATGATCTTGAGGTGTGCATCACCGTCCGCTATGTACCGCCGCGCTGCGTAATGATTTCTCCATCCCGATGTCGCGAAGTAATCGCTCGATACCACCTCGGATCTAGCAATTCAATCCCTTCTGCTGATTTCGATTCTGCTTAGAAGTCATCGAGGATCGAATTTTCTGTTTTTCGAATTCCCTCGAACGGGGTAGCACATCTGGCCTTCCTTCCGTCGACAGAGTATCAGTGCGAGCCCCAATTCCTACCTAGTGTCAGGAATAAGAGCACTAACCTTCTGGTTTTGGAGACGGGTCTTGACGAGATCGATCGGGAACACACAGGTCACTCCAATTATTCCAGCTATACCCCCATTCACTATCTTTGGCAGTAACCTGCGGATTCGAGAAATGTTTGAGTGCTGAGAACTCTCGCAAAGGAAATCGTTGTGATTTCCGTCACGGCCTCGAGAGCCCCGTGATTTTTTTGTGTTTCTTTCTTTGTCTCCCAGGCTCCGGTCCCTACCCTCCTCCCGAAGTTGATCTGCGGATACTGTACTGGAGATCATACTCTACAAGGACTTGTTTCGCAACCGCGGTTATCCAAATCGAGACGAGTCATGAAAACTCGCCGCGTTCTCCAGAGCCTGGTCATTGATGAATAACATGGGAATTCATGCTGAGTATGCGAGACGCAGCGATATCCGGTACGAGCAGATGTTTGGGTGATATTTAGAGCGTCCAAAATCCGATCGACGATAATGCGTCAGCTCTACTCGATTGGTATGATATGCTATGTATACAAATCATCCGCCCCACACTTCGGCTTATTCGAATGATGGTGGGTGCAGCGTCATCGACGGGCGCACGCATCAAACAATTAGGAGGGCAGATGAGAGAGATCTCCGTCGCGAGAGTGCCTTCCGTCTCTCCAATACCAAGCAGTGGCATCAAGTTCCATCAATGTTTCGATCAGGATCGACAACTGAGCGGAGGAACGTTTTTAGAGCTCTCTCATGCTGACCCTGATCCCGATCGACTATTCATTGACAGGTCCCGGAATTCGATTCGGAATCGGGTCGAATTCTGGATGCTTGGTGGGGGGACAGGAAGCTTCGCAAAATTCTCTCGTCTGCGATCACGAAATGGTTCGAGATTGCTGCTGCCGTGAGGAACTCCTATTGATTTCTCCGGGAGATTCGATTCTCTCGCTCAAGATTCAAGAGCTTTCCGAATCGCTCTGTCCCCCGACTACCAGATACGTTTCTATGATTAAGTGTCTTCGCAAAACGCAAATCATTTGTCGTTCCACCTCGGATTCCGACTGACAAGCTCACCGAGGCGTCGCGGTTTCGACTTCCCAAACTATATCGCCCGCAATATCTCCCTGGCCTCTAGCGCCGCTATCATGGGTAGACTTTGCACTCTCGACCGGTGTCGTGAGCGAAGCGCCACACTTCGATCATAAAGAGCCTGAGCGCGGTTGAACAATGAGGAAATATTTTGCGGAGACAGGACGGTGAAGTTTACTGAACTGTGCATATTCCTCGCTGTGACTCATGGAAATCTCGAGTAGACGTCTCTCATCGCGATTCGGTCGCATGGTCTCCCGTGTTCACTCGCAAATGAGAAATTCTGAACGCTCACAGAGCGATATACTCACGAAAAGTTCTGCGGCTTTTCTTGAAGACTAGTCATTTATTTGGCCGTTTCGAACAGACGAAAATGAACGTATTCAGGGGAGCGCACTCAGGAACTCACAACACCAACAATATTCATCATGAGAATGGGAAACTGCCTCTCAGCGGCCGCAGTTGTACAGGAAAAAAAGAGAAAGCGGGTAGACAGATGTATCGATTATTTTGAGAACCCACTACGTTGACGGGGGAAAGACGTCGTTTTCGTCTGTTATCCACCGCAGCAGCGGCAGCACTGGCAGCAGCAGCAGCGACTACGACGGCGGCGGCGGCCGCTGGAGAGGGCTCTCAGCTGTAATTCGGGAAGAAGACCTGCCGTCTGTCTGTATCGGTCGGAGAGAACGCTCGGTGGCGGAGGGCATGGGCAAGGGATCTCCCGGAATCGCGAGATGCATCAGAACTGGCGCGAAACATCTCGATCGTGCAAGACGAGAGCGAAAGAATCCGGATTCGGCACTCCACGCTGTTGGGCTATGCTAGGCACATTCGTCCGGCTCGGGGAAAACTCTGAGTCCTCTCAAGGAACATCGTGATACTTTTGATAGGAGGAGTTCAATATCCAACTGTTCTCCCCAACCATCGGAATTGATCTCGTCATTCTTGAAGGAATTTCCGACGTTTCGAAAATGCCATCACTCTGAGCTCGGATCCTCCGAGCAAGACAGACGGCGCTCGAATACGACGTTAAACTCTTGACCGCCTTTCAGATGATCGTGTGGAGCGAATCCTGCAACTTACCTGATCCGAAGCCTCTTCCATTCCTCCTCGATTTGAATTCGACGACTATTGAACACATGGAAAGGCTTCTCGCAGTTTGTGGGACCGAGGACGGCGATGAATCCTTAGGGCAGGAGAAAGAAACCATAGCTGTCGCCACTCTGAATCTGTTGACCCTTCAACTCCACACAATGTTCAAACATAATTTACAAATCCCCGGTCTTGAATCAGGGACGAAGTGAGTCCGAGTTTCCTATAGCAGAATACACAGTCGAGTCAACTCCAATTAGTCCCAGTAACACCGTTGTTATCCCTCGCTAGACTCCTGACGCAGATTCGACAGCGCGTATTGACCATGGCGGGCTCCCAAAACCCGTGCGAAAGTATCCAGCTCGCCGCTCAGAAATGCCTAATCCATTGCTGGAGGGTACTGATGCCCTCGGCAGACGAACGCGCGCGAACCCTGTCACTACTATTGCCCCTGAAGTCCAGTTTCTTGATAGGTGAGGAATCATGTGAGACTTACCCACAAATATTCTCATCCGCTCAGAGTCGTTCGCGATCAGGAGAAGATTTCATTCCGAGTTTTTCGATACCGCTACAGGTCTTCTAGTCCAGACGCTGATGTGTGATGGAAGTTTGGAATCGTTTTTGTACCGATCTCAAGTGGAGATCGTCGCCTCATCAGGAGATACCGCCGATCAAGGAATCGCGTATATCCTGAACGAGCACCTTACGGAGTCGGCTCAAATAGAAGCACATTCTAAGTGTCAGAGTGTGCCATTGTTGTATCTTGTAAGGCAACTACTCAAAAGCGTCGCTCAAAGTACACTCCAACAAATTGAAGCACCCCTCGAACACGATCAGCCCGAAGTAAGTTTGCTTTGCGAGCATCGATAATAATCTTTCGCGAAGAATAGTGACGGTCCGGGTTGTTGAAGGGTACCGCCGACGACTGAGCGCGAATGTAATTGGCTCCGAAATCTTTCAGTTTTGCGAGGTGGCGATAAAGTTCCTACTGAAATTCCAAAGAATAATATTCGCTGAGCTCATGAACTCTAGCGGCGGGGAAAGTCAGGATTCTCAAGAAGAACCGATGTCGGTCTTATTGTTACGTTATACGAAGCTGCTCGTTAGCCACTGTGGGCAAATCCTTCAAGCGTGTCAGAGCAACTGCGTCACGCTACCGCGCTTCATGAAGACCCTCGTTGACGTGGTAGCGGGTAAGCATACGATCGTCGGTAATCTCCTATCGGAATTCATCTTGTCGTGTCTGGTCCTCGAGAGCCGCGGGAGGAGGAGCGAACTCGCGGCTCTCGTTTCTCCCTTGTTGGATCAATTGGATGCGGTGAACCGCTTGACGCCCGCTGCCAGCAAAGAGGACGCGGACAATCTGTCGTGGACAGGCCTCAGCTCCCTCACTTGCAGCGCGAAGGAACGGTAAGGCAAATTCTCAACGAACGCAATCTGTTCCATCCAGCCAACGACTCGTTCGTTCCGGGGAGTTCTGACTGCGTTTTCTCCGATTCGCAGAGTTTCGGCGGCCACGGCAGCCGAGCAGAACCCGAGCCATCCGACACGACTCATCCGGAAGGCCGACTTGGAGAATATCAAGGAGGAAGGGAGCTCTGTCTGGGTCGTAATTCGTGGGGTGGTCTACGATGTCGGCGCGTTCAGTGCCCTGTCGCCACCTTGCGGGGAGGCGTCTATCGACGCCTTGAACGGTGAAGACGCGACAAAGAATTTCGAAGCGGTCGCGCACTCGGCCGAAGCGAGGAATCTCCTGCAGACCATGGCGATCGGAACCTACGTCGATCCTGACACTGACCCGGTTCTCGAATGCGAAGCGCACTCGATGGGATCTCCGCTAACGGACACGGAATACGTCTTGGCGTATTATTTGGCATTGAATTCAAGGAATTCAGCAGCTGTTGAAACGGAGGCTGAAAAATCGGTCTTGCAGTGGCTCAATTCACCGCTGTTCCATGGCGGTCTCTTCGAGGCCCCGTACGAAGAAGAAAAGGTCCGTAATTAATTATTCTCCGAGGAAGTTAATCGATTTCTTCCGTAATGCGAACAAGAACTGAAACGACTCTCTCCCTTCCACAGGGTGAAGTTCGTAGCTGCGGTTCTAGCAACGCGACCTCTCCTACAGATGAAAACCAACCAAATCGTTGTTTGAACACGGATATTTTCATCAACGCGTTGGCGTCGAATTCGGAAGCGGCCCCGAGCCTCCCGTCACTCGAACGGTAATTTCCGATTATCCCCACGAATCCCGTAGACCGACCGTATCGCTGATGATTGATCATGATGCAACCGCCATGGTGACTCCGAATCCCGGTCAGGCATTCGGTCGAGGATGTCACGCATTCTCTTCTCCCTCAGATTCCTGATGTTGTGGGGCTCCTACGCCAAGCAAGAGCGATTATCGCTGCCTTTGGAGTTGGCGGCGGACCATCCCATCGAGGAGTTATCTCGACTCTTCATGGCGGTTCTTCTGAAGCATACAGGCGAAGAATTCAACGCGATGACTGCCGTGGTGCCAATGGATTTGAGCGATCCGATCAAGAACTTCATAAAAACAATCCAGCAAGTCAAGTGGACGCTCATAAAAATCCGTCAGGAAACAGGGGGCTCATACAAGGAAGTTTGTTTCCCCGCGGTCGAACGCGCTCGTTTCCTGTTGCACGAGCTGCGTCCGGCGATCTCAGCCGAAGCGATCCTGAGCGCTCCCTGTCCGTCGTTACGATCGCGTTGGACGTGGGCTTTCGACAGAATTCGGAACATCAAACAGGTTCAGGAACCGCGAGAAGTCGTTGTCGAGATAGATTGGAAAACCCTCATGCAGGCTATCCAGGATTTCGTTCTGCAGTCAGACAGTCAACTCACCGATCTCGAACAGATCCGGAAGCTTTACTTCAAACAAACGTCTCTGGCCCTGACCCAGCAAGCGGGACTGGAGAGGATGGTTCAACTATTTTCTAAGAAAGACTACCTCCTCTCGACCAAATACGCCCTGCACTGCGGCTGGCAAGACCTGTTGAAGATCTCTCGGGTCACCACTAGTCAATGTTGTCCTGATCTCACGCTGATCTGTCCGAAACAGCGGCGTCAGATAAAGAACACGTGCTCGAGCTTGTTTGAGTGGTGTCTCCAGGAATTGCGTAAACTCTTAGTGGAGTGCATCGGTATCGACGGCATGTACGGTCCCTCGAACAGACAGAGCGCGACCAGCAAACTAGTCTCGTTGGACAGCGCCACTGGATGGTCGTTGACTTCACCGGCTGTTTTCACCCGATGTCGACTTCTGATCTGCCTCCTGTCGTACTTGCTCCAGGGTGTCGCTCGACACTTGGATTTATTCCTGTCGAAAAATTTGACGGCTCACCTGTTGACACTCCTTCGACTTCTCGGTCCGGACCCGAACGGATCGTTTGCAAGTCAGAACGTTTCACTGTATGCTGTCATGGAAGAATCCATGAAGAAATCGACGAAAGGCTCCGCGTCTACGCCGGTCATATCAGGTAATCATGCTGCGCCCTTATTCCTATCTGACCTCATCATCTCAGTCAGTCTGAGCCATCCCTGGGGTTCGATCGATATTTTCCACATCGGATTTCCCCCTTCCTTAACTGCCCAGAGGGGCTCTGACCAAGAGGAATTTTTTCAAGGACCCGAACTCGCCGCCCTGATGAAGATCGGGACGAGAGTTCGGCGCGGTGCCGATTGGAAATGGGCGAACCAGGACGGGACGCCGCCTGGAGAAGGGAGAGTCATTGGAGAACTGGGAGACGACGGTTGGATCAGGGTCCAATGGGACACCGGGATGACGAATTCCTACAGAATGGGAAAAGAGGGAAAATATGATCTCAAGCTGACGGAGAGCCCACCTGCCGCTAACAATACCCTCGTGAGCTTTTCGTCGCCAGACTTGTCGCTTAGTGACGAGGATCTGGATCAGCCACCGCAGAGGCCGATCACCATGCTTCATTCATCGACGGTGAATCTCCTCAAAGCTATTCCTCTGGCAACAGCGCAGTTCCAGGGTCGGATCGCTCCGCATAATATCAGAGCGCTCTCAAAGCTACTCTTCAACATAATCTCCGGAGGGTTCACCAGCCACCTGCAGGTGAGTTTATAGCGAAAGGGGAGAACTCTCCGCCGAGAAGGATTCCGCCCTACGTTTAACGCTCCCCGCTATTCCTTTGCCGTTCCCAATTGATTCAAGTATCCCCGAGGACTTCCCGGAGGGATGTTCGCCGTCTAATCGAATTGGAAATTTCCTCTTGCCGCAGGTCACGGATAACGGCTGGCTATTGGAGGAGCAGTGTCTCAAATGGTGCAGTCTGAGTTACGTCCGAGCGTGCTTTGCGAACAAAGCCTTCTCGCAGAGCCTAGCGTCTGGGGCCTGGGTGAAACTCATCGTTTCCGTGGCCGCAAAGTTCCAACCCGCGAGCCTTTCAACTCAAATCCAGTCGCTCAGACTTCTTGAAGCGGCCGTACCGCATTGGCAGTGCACTCCTGACGAACGCGGCGAATTCGTCGATAGTATCCTCCGGATCATCGGAGACTGTTTGACCGAAGCATGCGCCAACGACGCAACGATTCAAATCCGGAACAACTCGAATTATGCCCGGATGAGAGTCTGCCTCACAGCCAGTCACTGTTCCAGTGTTGCTGAGGAATGCGTTGAGCTCTTGAGGAAACTCGGCACGCTCCCGGAGTGGTTGGAAGCGATAACGAATTTTCTCTCGGCGAATCTGAACATCGTCACGAGCTGTGCGGAATTTCTTCATTTTTCCTATGGGGACGAGTTCAAGAGGAGTCTCGCGGCTTGTGCCCTTCTGGGCCAGCTAGACTCGCGGTTACGCTTGGGGTCAACGGTGGAGCACGCGGAGGCATTCGGCGAGGACCAGGAGAAAATCACCGGGACCGTTTGCAAGATCGGAATCAAGGGAAAAATCACCATAACGAACAATTTCGAGAAGAGCACGCACCTACTGGGAAATCTGAAAATGATCCAGCCGCCCCCCTTCAACATACGGAACTTCGTTTCTTCCAGCTCTTCCAATTTCCGCAGTATGTGCTCGCTGGTCAAGACCGCAATCACGATGACCGATCTGCCGACGGGTTCCCAGCCCGAGGCGGTTCTCCCCTTGCAGTACATGTACGGCCTGATCCGATCTGTCAACGGGTTGTTGTCCGACCAGACGACATTGCGAGCGATACTCAACCATGAGAGCTTACTCGAGAGCGTGCTCAGCGTCGCCATCAGACCGTCGACGCTGCGAGCTATATTCTCGAGACAGGAAATCGAAGCCGCCATTCTGACTACGACGCAACATCTGGTCGGTCAGATATTCGTCGGGCCCGAGCCGACCGAACGGGTCGTTTCCCCCGAACCCACCGCGAGTCGCAGCACCAGAGCCCGAAGTGGCCACTCGAGACCGAGCTCGGGTCTCATGCTGAGCGCGGCTCAAGCCCAACTCATCGAAATGGGTTTCCCGCGCAAGAGCATCGAAGCTGCCGTCAAGGTGATCAAGACCCAACTCGGAACCAACGGCATCGTGCACACGACTAGCCCCAGCCCGGAGAGTATCGTAGCATGGATGCTGGAGAACCAGGAATTTTTCCTCTCGGAAACTATGTCCGAACAGGAAGAAGATTGCGATTCAAGTTCTTTCGAGGAACACTCCTCAAGCAGCAGTCTCTCGGGCGAGCTGGGACGCTGCGAAACCCAGAGTGGGGGGCCCAGCGCCGGGAGCATCTACAGAAGGTACGCCGAATTCCACGACGAGGAAGACTACGCCAGATACATACGGGACTGCATTCGGGTCGGAATGATTGTTCGTTGCTGTAATAGTTTCGAAGACGTTCAAGAGGGCGACATAGGTGAAGTAACCAACCTGGATTTCGATAGTCTCCAAGATCTCAACGTGAAGGTCAATTGGCAGAAGCGAGGGCTCCATTACTGGATGAGATATGTCAACGTCGAGGTGCTGGAAGAGGGGATGGAGCACGTGATCAAACCCGGGGACCATGTTCAGGTGAAGTCGAGCGTCAACAATCCACGCTATCGTTGGGGTTCCATCACGCACGCGAGCGTTGGCACAGTGACCAAAATCAAAGGTCAGCGTGTGATCGTGGACTTTTGCGAGCAACGCTCGTGGGCGGGTTTGCTGTCAGAAATCGAACTCGCTCGGACAGGTTGTGCGGGAAGGCAACATTTCTGTCGGAGCAGAACCGCCCAGAGCCATGAGACCGAGCTGCTGTACGAGCTGTCGGAATGCATCAAGAACTTCACGGTCTCATCAGGGACGATGACCGCCCACTTTTTGTTCGAACAGAATCACGAAGCGTGGCAGAGTATCGGTCAGCAGGGAAGACATTGGATTCGTCTGGAAATGCACGACGGAGTCGCTGTCGAGAAACTTTCGATGGATGTGGATCCCGCCGACGCGTCATACATGCCGTGTTCGGTGGTGATTTCGGTGGGTCATTCTCTCCATCATCTAAAACCCATACGGGACCTCTACATCGGCGCGACAGAGACTCGGGTGGTGTTACTCGAAGAAATGACCGAATACTACCGCTATGTCGAAGTCGGCATCAAGCAGTGCCGCAGCGCCGGTATCGACTGTAAAGTCCGTGGACTCAACGTGGTCGGGAGACACATCCAAACGTTGGACGAAGCTGCTAATTATCGATTCTTGGCTCAAGAAACTGAATGCAAGTTGGGCATCGTCAATCAAATGGGTAGCCCTAGCATGAGGGAAAATATCGAGTGTAAGGTCTTCGTTTGGGGACTCAACGATAAGGATCAGCTGGGAGGTTTGAAGGGAAGCAAGATCAAGGAACCCAAATTCTCTGAGGTGATATCCAACCTAAAGCCCATGAACATAGCTGGAGGATCCAAGAGCTTATTCATTGGTAAGTGTCTCGCCCTCCGAGGAATGGCCCTAAAGTTTCATTCGAATCCTCTTCCGCATCCAGACCGAATCCTCTTCCGCACCAGATGCGTCGGGTGAGAATTGATCGGTCTCCTTGACGAAATGTTTCCTTTCAAGTTTCCCACGACGGGAAGGTCTTCGCCTGTGGAGAGGGTACCAACGGTCGACTGGGCTTAGGACACTCACACAATGTAGCACAACCGAAGCCGCTAACGGATCTCAGTCCGTATTTCATCAAGAAAGTCGCAGTGCACTCTGGGGGGCGGCACGCATTGGCACTCACCATAGACGGCAGAGTGTTCTCCTGGGGAGAGGGTGAAGATGGTAAACTTGGACATGGCAACAAAATGTGAGTCGTGTCTTTGAGAGCCTCAATCATTGAGAATATATCATTCTGTCCGGGAGAGCTCCCTCTGAAGGAGTCCCGTCTTCTCGGATATGGAGGCTCGCTCTAATCCGTGGAAAGAAAATATGATGGAAGTAAATTCATCGGGAATCATGTTCTACCTTCCAGCTCGTATGATCGCCCAAAGCTTGTAGAATCTCTCAAGTGCAAACGTATTCGTGACGTGGCGTGCGGAAGTTCACACTCAGCAGCCGTAACTTCCTCAGGAGAACTCTACACTTGGGGTAGCGGAGAATACGGTAGACTCGGGCACGGAGACAACGTCCCACAACTTAAACCTAAACAGGTACCTAGATACTGGCTACCCCCCGCTCACCACTGGCTGTTGCAATCTGAGCCGTGACCGGTCTTATATACATTCCTGTGAGCTCTATCTCATTCCTAGGTTCGAGCCCTGAGTCATGAGCGCGTTGTTCAAGTGGCTTGCGGAAGCCGCGATGCGCAAACACTTGCGTTGACAGAACGTCACTGGGTTTACTCCTGGGGTGACGGAGATTTCGGAAAATTGGGGAAAGGAGGATCCGACGGGTCTTCATTGCCGCAAAATGTTGAGACCCTCAACAGCCAGCAAGTGATTCAGGTTGAGTGTGGCGCTCAGTTCTCTCTGGCGCTGTCGAAGAACGGCAAAGTTTGGACGTGGGGAAAAGGCGACTACTTCAGACTGGGACACGGCTCGGACTCTCACGTTCGATGGCCCCAAGTCGTTGAAGAGCTCGCCGACAAGAACGTGATCCAAGTCTCTGTCGGTGCCCTGCATTGCATCGCCGTCACCGACAGGGGAGAAGTCTACGCGTGGGGAGACAACGATCACGGGCAACAGGTACGAAATATCGAGCTTCCACTCCTGTTGTCTTGATTTTCATGAACATCCTGGAAAATCGGGGTCCGACTCAAGCTCTACAGCAGTCCGAGATCGTCATTCCAGGGAAACGGCAACACGACGGTCAACCGGAAACCCGCCATAGTGCGAGGGCTCGAAGCTATCACAAATGTTGCTTGCGGGTCTTCGCATTCAGTAGCTTGGTCGTCGACAGGAACTTCTCCACAAAAGCTCCATGATCCCATACTGTTCCCCGTTGTCAGGGATCCTTTGGGAGAAACGTTACTGTGTGACGACCAGCCGAGACAGGACAAAGAGGAGTCGATACCCTTCGTGAACGGGGATCGACCCTCGCTCAGTCGAGTCTTCCTGTCCCTCGACTCCGTGCAAGCAAAGATCGATGCCCTATTCCAGGCCATCCAGGCTCTCCAGATACTAACAGCGAGGTGAGTGGCCGGGCGGATCGCATCGGATATAATTGATCCGGATCGAGCGTGTGCCGGCGGACTCGAATGCGAACGATTTCTCGTCTTGCAGAGAGATCATCATGGTTTCGCTTATGCCTCATTCGCAAACGATGGCCATCAACTCTGCCTCCCTGGTCAATCTGTGCTCTCGAGAACCAACTCCCCTGCGGGGCGAAAGCAGTGAACGGCTTCTACATCTCCAACGTCAGACGAGCGAAGAGCATCCTACAACCCTCTCATCGCTCCCTTCATCGACGAGCCTGTCGTCCAGAGTCTCGGCCGCTAGTATGTTGGCGGCCGCGACCTTCTCGCCTACCTACGAGAACGTAAGTGGACGTCCTAGGTGTGATCAGACGAGTGTCGAACAGTTATTCGGGCTTGCAGTCGGCTCTACCCGAAGTCCGATGATGAGCTCAATAGTAACTTTTGCCAGGATACGATCATCGATACTCGGAAGCCGTTCATGGACGATTTCATATTGCAACTGACGCCAGACGATGCAAGACAATTGGTCGATTTATTGAAAATATACCTATGCGGTCGAACACCACTCCGAGACGACGTGCTCACGCCGGCCTTACTGGCCCTAGCAGCTGCCAACGCACATGTCAAAGAAATGCTCCTGGAAGTTTGCGTAACAGAATTGGAAGACGTTTGCGTTGACCAAAACGCAACGCATTGCATACTCCAGCCAATCATCCAGGAGAGTCCACATCCGTACAAAGTGAGTTCGAATCGAGCTCACCTGATATCTTGAGGAAAAACCGTCTCCGTCGTCTACTAGAAACCATCGGATTTTTTCGATGATTATCACCTCGAGCCACGTATATTTCTCGCCACGATACTCCGCATATATGTGTTATCTATTTATTGTTTAACCCCTGATCTCCTCTTGCAGGACGACACGGTCCTCACGGGACAAGTGAGAATTCCCGGCGCGGACTCGCTGCGTGTGGAGTTCGATCAGCAGTGCTCCACAGAGCGACGTCATGATCCGTTGTGCATCATGGACTGGTCCGGGAGGATCGTGGCCAACCGGTCGGGTCGGGAGTGGTCGGACTGGTCTGCCGAACTGGTCATTCCAGGAAGTGAGCTACGCTGGCGATTCTGCTCCGACGGTAGCGTCAACGGCTGGGGCTGGAAATTTACCGTTTACCCCATCGTTCTCTCAGACCAGAAGTCGTTGTTCTCCGAACTGGAGAACGTTTCGGATCGCGCAGTCATCTCCCGACCGTCGATCGCTCTCGTCGTATCGCTGCTAAACTCCGAGCAGGCGCTCCTGGCGAACGCCAAGAAGCCCACGGTGCTCCGATTGGCCGCCGCATTGGCTTCGTGTGCCCAACTGAATTATCTGAGTCCGTCGCAGAGGATGTGGGTCCTCGAGAAATTACGACAGCTGGTGGCATCCACCGCTGGACAGCGGCTCAAAATTATGGCGCAGAGCCCGACCAGTCCCACGAAAGCATTATTGCCGCAGGACGAACTCGGCTTGCACGGCAGCATGGCGCTGTCGTTGTTGCTCAAACACCTACCGGAGATGCTCCTGCGACAATTCGAGTATGAGGATCCATTGGTGCGAGCAGGAAAACATTTGATGCACACACAGTTCTTCAAGGTACTCGTCGCGCTGGCCTGTGATCTCGAGCTGGATTTCGCTCGAGCCACCGAAGGTCATCGGTGGATTTGGTTCAAGCGCTTCTGCATGACGAGTCGAGTAGCACAAGCCCTCATTCAGAGAAGTCCTCTCCCGATCTGTTTCTGTGATGAGGTGAAACGGAAGCTCCGAGAACTGTTTCCAGACGAGGTTTTCGACGAGAAAGAATACGAGAACAATGTCGTCTTCAAGCAAGAGCAGGTGAGCTCATGGGGCTGACGTGGGACACTTCGACTTCTCACTCCGTATGCTAATAATTATCGCTCATGAACTGAGAGGGATTTCCTTGCTTTTGAAGGACGAACAATTGGTTCTCTGGGTGAATCGATCTCCCGACGAGTGGACACTCTCGTGGGGAGGAAGTGGAGTCATTCACGGCTGGGGCCACAACCATAGAGGACAACTCGGTGGTGTAGAAGGTGCCAAAGTCAAGACGGCAACGATTTGCGACGCCCTCACCGCCTTGAGGTGAGTCGCTGATTAGAGCCAGGAATTCGAGAATTGCGGGATCTTTGTTCGCACTTATGATTAAGCCAAGAACCTTCTCCTCAAGACCGGTGCAAATCGTTGGAGGAGAGCAGACTCTATTCGCCCTGACGAGCGACGGAAAGGTCTATGCTACTGGATACGGAGCGGGTGGACGTCTCGGAATCGGGGGCACCGAGTCGGTGTCGACCCCGACTCTGATCGAGACCCTTCAGCACGTGATTGTGACACAAGTTGCGGTGAATTCTGGGGGCAAGCACTGTCTTGCTCTCACATCGTCCGGAGACGTATTCTCGTGGGGTGAAGGAGATGACGGCAAACTCGGTCACGGGTCGAAGGCCCTCTGTGAGCGACCGAAACTAATTGAATCTCTGCGAGACAAACACGTCGTTTCCGTAGCGTGCGGGGGAGCTCATTCGGCCTGCATCACGGCGTCCGGCGAACTATACACCTGGGGCAAAGGAAGGTCAGTTTCTATATTGTGACCCAGATATACCCATAGTAGTTGAAAATTTGAGCATATCAGATACACCGACTCCGGACAGCGCAAGCGAAGAATTTGAATTGAGATTCCCATCTTCCGTCGCTTCAGGTACGGACGACTGGGCCACGGGGACTCTGAGGATCAGTTGAAGCCGAAAAAAGTCGAAGAGCTCGCAGGACACAACGTATTGGACGTTGCCTGCGGTAGTGGCGATGCCCAGACCCTATGCGTTTCACGAGACGGCCTCGTCTGGTCATGGGGAGATGGCGATTACGGGAAACTCGGCAGAGGAGGTTCGGATGGTTGCAAATTCCCTCAGAAAATCGACTCACTCCAAAACGCCGGAGTGATCAAGGTCGAATGCGGATCACAGTTCTCCGTGGCGCTCACTGCGGCAGGCAAGTTGTTATTGGATTGAGTAGGTACGAGAACCGAGGAAATCGAGTGTCCGGCAGAGGCGGCCTCGATCCGCACAGGAATCTTTATGATCGTTCCTTCCAGGGGTTGTGTACACCTGGGGTAAAGGCGATTACCACCGACTCGGACATGGAAGTGAAGATCACGTCCGAAGACCTCAGGCTGTCCAAGGTGCCTTGCAGGGGAAGCGTGTCATTCAGGTTGCTGTGGGATCGTTGCATTGTGTCGCCTGCACGGACTCGGGTGAGGTGTTCACGTGGGGCGACAACGATGAAGGTCAACTCGGAGACGGTTCTACGAACGCGATTCAGCGGCCGAAACTCGTCGCCAGCCTTAAGGGCAAGAAGATGAATCGAGTAGCGTGCGGTTCGGCCCACACGGTCTCGTGGTCGACGTCAAAGAGCGCTCACAAAACAGTCACCCAGCTCCCGACCCAGATCCCGCTCGAATACGATCACTTGAAAGACATTTCGATGCAACAACTCCGCAACAGATACTGCTTATTGTTCCTGTTCAACGAGATGTTCTGCCCGACGATCCCGCTCCTCGATCTATCGCCGGGATCGCCCTTCAATTGCCTCAAGGGTCTGCTTATGCTCAACGGCAAGGAGACCGCCTTCAGGAAAATCGTCCAGACGACGATGGTCCGCGACCGCCAGCACGGTCCCGTCGTCGAACTCAATCGGATGAGTAATCCAGCCACCCGGAAAACGGTTTTCGCACAAATGGTCGCGAAGATGTCTCTGCTGACACCAGAATGTCTCTTGCTGCCGCACCGAGTCTGGAAAGTGAAATTCGTCGGGGAAAGCGTCGACGACTGCGGTGGAGGCTACAGTGAGAGCATCGCCGAAATGTGCGAAGAGCTGCAGAAGGTCTGTGGCTTGAAACCTCTTGAAGACTCGTATGCCGTCTAAATTAATTTATCTTGCTCCAGCGAATGATAATCGATCCTATCTTCCTTCCGCAGGGCAATGTGCCTCTGTTAACACTCACGCCCAACGGACGCGAAGAAGCCGGCACATCGCGGGATTGCTTCCTCTTCAATCCGGAAGCTACATCGGTTTACCGGGAATGGTTTAAATTCTTGGGGATACTCATGGGAGTGGCGATCCGCACAGGGAGCCCGCTGTCCATCAATCTGGCTGAGCCCATGTGGAAACTCCTCACCGGGGATTCATTGACCGTCACGGATCTGAATGAAGTCGACAGAGACTACGTTCCGGGACTCATGTACATAAGAGATTTGGATGCCGACGCTTTCAGCCGGCTGGAGAGCATTCCATTTGTCACGCACTCTTGCGTCGGGAACCAAGTTGCCCTGAGCTCCAAATTCATGAATGTGACCATAGAAAATCGACTCGAATATATTCGACTGGCTATTAATTACAGGTAAGCTGTCGACAAAATTGTATATCTCGCCTCCGGAGATCTGTCTCGGAGCCGACCAGAGAAATTAAGGCTCGCGTGTTAAGGCTGGCCCCGATGTTTTTCCCAGATTGCACGAGTTCGACGAGCAAGCCAGTCTGATTCGAGAGGGCTTGGCCAAGGTGATTCCGGTTCCGTACCTCGCTCTTTTCACGGCTCACGAGCTGGAGCTCATGGTTTGCGGGAGTCCGGACATACCGATCGGCCTCCTGAAATCGGTCGCGACCTACAAAGGTAAACTGGAAGATTCCGTTTTCCCCTGCTCCATTACAACATGATTTTCGAAGACTCAGGAGCGAGAACGAGATGACTCCATCCGCTAAGGGCGTTTGAGGTCAAGTCCCGAATGAGCTTCTTTCCAGGTGTCGAATCGGATTCTTCGCTCGTCCAGTGGTTCTGGGAAGTGATGGAGGAGCTGAGTCAGGAAGAACGAGGACTCTTCCTCCGTTTCGTTTGGGGTCGCACCCGTCTGCCCAGAACAATAGCGGATTTCCGAGGCCGCGATTTCGTGCTTCAAGTCCTGGACAAGTATTCTCCACCGGACAGCTTCCTTCCGGAGAGTTACACCTGTTTCTTCCTTCTGAAAATGCCTCGATATTCCTGTAAACTGGTCCTGAAAGAGAAGCTCAGATACGCAATACATTTCTGCAAGTCAATCGACACCGATGATTACGCTCGCGTCGCCATGGAAGCCGATCCAGGAGCTGCTGGCGGCGACGACAACCTTTCCACGGAAAGCTTCTCAGAAGTCGGATCTATCGCGGGGTCCGACGATCAACTTACTGGGAGCTCGTCACAACATTTTCGAGGGCCACCGCCGATGTATATGTAAATGGTAGATCTTTCACACGAGCGTTATTCTCGCGCTATTCTGTGGACCGTCGCGACGGGTTTCCAGGAAATCCCACGGCGCGTTCGATCGAACGGCGGAGCCAGGCACACATGAACCATTGGTTCACGCCAGAGATCGGGGCGTCCGCTGCCACCGTGTAGATAAGGTGTCTCTATCATTGTTGAAATATATGTGCTGTGAGTAGTATGTCTCAATATATAATAATATATTCGATACTTCCGGAAAGGCGAAAAATCCGATTCCTGTAAAGCGTTTGAGGACCTTGAGGAGCAGGGAATGTTTCAGAGCAGAGGATTCGATTGATGAATGGGCGGATGAGCTTTTCGAAACTCACTTGTCCACTTTATGATCTCAATACATAGCATATGAGCCCAACAAAGGATGAGTCTGTCTGTCTTGAATCCATATATTAGCTTTTATTGGTTCTGTAAAATTTGTCCTGAATTCCGTCCCACGACGGACGCCTAGTCTTTGGTACAGTTGTGGATAGCGTGGGCGAGGTAGTCGACGTTATTCGAGGAAATCCCGGCGACGGAAATTCGACCGTCCTTCGTGAGATACACGGAATAGTCTTTAGTGAGTTTCTCGACCTGATGGGGTTTCATGCCGGTGAAACAGAACATGCCGATCTGATTGACGATGTGCTGCCAGTTTCTGGTACTTCCCTCGTTCTTGAGACCTTGCTGGAGACGTTCTCGCATCGAGATGATGCGGCCGGCCATCAGCTTCACATCCGCCAACCACTGCGCGTAGAGGTCAGGATCTGACAAAATGAGGTTGGCGATTCGAGCTCCGTGGACCGGAGGGTTCGAGTACATAGGTCGGATGAGGATCTTGATTTGACTCATGCATCTTTCTGCCTCCTCTTTTGAATCGCAGAGAAGACTGAAGGCGCCAACGCGCTCTCCGTACAGACCCATGTTCTTGGCAAAAGATTGAGCCAGACACATGGGACCGCTCTGCGAGAATATCCGCACCGCGCTTGCATCGCGATCGATGTCGCCGGTCGCGAAGCCTTGGTACGCCATATCCAAGAAAGGGAACAGATTTCTCTTGCGGACAACTTTCTCGATCTCGAGCCATTCAGATGCTGAGGGATCGACTCCGGTCGGGTTGTGTGCGCACGCGTGGAGGAGGATCACGGATCCCTCCGGGATCTTCGAAATGTCCTCGAGAGCGCCCTGAAGATCCAAGCCGCAAGTCTTCGGCTGATAGTAACGGTACTGCTTGACCTCGAAGTTGCAGTGTTTGAACAGCGGAATATGGTTGCCCCATGTGGGGTTCGGCATGTACACAGTTTTGTTTCCCTTCAGATGCTTCTCGAGGAACGCAGCTCCTATACGCAACGCTCCAGTCCCTGAAATGCCCTGAAAATCGGGAAAAGTGCATATTATCCTCGAAAGTCAGTGGATCGGATCCTCGAAAGTCAGTGAATAGAATCCTCGAAAGTCAGTGAATAGAATCCTCGAAAGTCAGTGAATTGAATCGCAAATTTCGATGGATGGAACAACTTATCCATATTGTTCATTAATGCGTTCTACAAGGGTCTAACCTGGACTGTAGCGTTACGACCAGTTTTTATTACGAACGAATCTTTCCCCAATGCGAGCTTTGCGGCATTTTCGCAGAATGCCGGGAGACCACCGATCGGAAGATACTCCTTGTCGTGTTTCTGCTCCGCGAGTTTCTGTTCGGCCTGGCGAACCGATGGCAGGACGAATGGCTTCCCCTCGTCGTCCCGATAAGCGCCTGGAAGCGATAGATAAATGTCTTGCAAACAGACACATGGGCTAATTTACTGCTCTGTGGCGAAATTGTCCCGTCAATGAGAGAAACTCGAGATGAGCTATAGAATTAGCGTTGCAGTCCATTCTCTACTCTTGAGCGTCTTATCTAGACTATGCTTGACTTTCATCTAGTGTTTGCAATCTATACGATAATCTTCCTTCTCTTTTCGGAGATAAGATCTGCAGCATCAACTCCGCGAACTGCAATGCGATTGTCGGGATTTGTACACTTTCCCGCGTCGAAATTCGGTGCTCTTGGATAGTCTCGAGCCCTCGAGCGAATTCCCCGTCGGATCATACCACCCTGGAGCATCTCGACTTGGTTTGATTTCAGAACCACCCTCCCCATCTAGTATATTTCGCATGGTCCTCCGATTCGCGCTGCCAGAACTATTTTTAAATGGGCGCTTAAACCGACCCCGGGACTTTCCTTTATCCGAGAATGTCTATCTCGCTTCGCTAATATTGTAGGCTCACGATGTATTTCTCAACAAAATTGTTGGGAATATCGAAAAGGTCTCGAGAATGACAGGGTCACATTTATCGGAAATAAGGAATGACATAGCGCAGGTCTGACAGCAAAGACGTCGTCAGCAGAACGGCGCTGCTGCAGTCCGGCCGACAGCGCGAAACTCTTCGATGGATTCAAGGAAATGATCGGAGCCTCTCATCCGAAGCCCCGATGGGATTGTGATGAAGCATCTTCTCCGTAGAAAATTTCCAAAATTGAGACTTTTGCGCGGATTCCTCTCTCCTGCGGAATGCGTAAGGGTCGAAAATCTACTGGACAGTTATATTTTCCTCTCCAACCTACCGACGCCAAGGTTCATTTTTTTGGGGTTGGTATCCTTCTTGAAAGCTTCGGTAACACCGAGGATGGCATCCGGGGGCCCCATTTCCACATGGGAGAATACGGACTGAGATCTGGCCCCCAGAACTTGCACACTTCTGGGTATCAGAATCGCGCTACGCATTGCCATGATGATGACGTAGAAGTTGCGACTAGTCGGTGGAAAATCGGTGAGCACGGAGCCGGGTGATCTGCAACCACTCCAACACGCGGTACGGAGCAAGTGTTCTAAACAAGGTCGAAACGGCCCGAGACTGAGAGGAAGAGAGAGCGCGACGTCGGAACGCCGCCATTATTTGAATGCTTCTGGGAAGATTCTAAGGGCGTCCCGGAAGATGGACATTCAGCGTAAGCGAAGCCGGTAGAGTTCCCTCAAGCGACCTCAGTTCATCGAATAGAATCGGAGTCCGCAACTCCCGACGCTTGTCTGAGCTTGAAGTTCAAATGATCGAAGGTAGAAGTCGAAACCATCAGAGATCGGAATTCCGTATGTCCTGAACTCGCGCTCCTCTAGAATCTCCTCCAGCTTAGAACTCCAGCCGCTTCTTCCTCAGCTCGGTATGCCTGGCTTTTTCTCTGTGCCCCTGCGGGGGATCTTCTAACCCTTGCGGGGAGCCATTGTCACACCGAGGTGCTACCGGGCTCAGTGGCTTGTTCTGTGGTTCGATGAATACACGTCTAGGCGTCCGTCGACCGATAGTCAGGCAGACGATCTTTCTACAACGTGGAAGAGCACCCTGATGTTCCAATTGCAGATCGAAGACTTTGCTCCTATGTAGCGCATGCACGGTTTCGGTATCGGTAGGAGCTTCAGGAGAACAGGATCCTAGAGCATCTCCGCGCCACACTATTCACGGAAAGAACTTCAGGCTACACCTTAGGCCTTAGGCTGAAGGAAGTATTCCCGGGAAGCGCTGTTTCGTCCCGAGATTGAAGTCCGGCGGGTTGCCGCCGAGATTGGACCGGAGAGAGGCCGCGCTGGCGTCACCCTGGACCTACCCCTGGACACTCAGCCCGACGAAGATTGAAGGGAATCTGAGGCCTGATCAGTGACGAGTACTGTCAGAATCAAGTACTGAAACCTGCCCCGGTCTGAAACCCCCACGGACAATTTGAAACCATCGGCTGGAAAACCCCAGATGCAGAATGTGCATTGCTGGCGGTGGGATTACTAAAGTGAGACCCATAGTCAGACAAAGCCCCCAAGTCGTAGATGAAGTCCACTCCATGCCCTCGAGCTTCGAACCGGAAGGATGTGAAGAGACCGGAGCTCTCAATGCCGAGGAACACGAAAAGAGTGAGAGCTGTTTCATTGGTACAGAAAATCAATCAGCGCTTGTTTCGTCCTCTACAAGCTTCGCTGAACTTACATGATTGAATGATTGTCTTTTCCAGCTCGGTACCGCTCCGAGGCTAGGGAGCACGTTCGGGACCGAAACGCGAGATTTCATCCAGGAAACATTTTGATCTGAACATTCAATGACGGCGAGCAGCTCTCCACCCGGACGAGCTCGCGAGGGTTCACCATTGCCATTCTTCACATCGTGGTTAAATGGAGGACTATTTGATTTCGCGCGCGCTGCCGCTCTCCTCTCCCTCGGTCTTGCTGAACCAGGCACGTAAACAAAAAGGCAGTCTGGCCGAGAGAGCCGCACTGTGTGGTGTTAAGGCCCGAAGTTCAAAGATGTCCTTCGATAATACTCCAAACATGGATGGTCAAAAAAGTAAGTTTCTCTCGCGAGGAGTGGAGCGATACGATCAGTTCACTGTGGAGCGTTGTAATTGGTGGATCTCAGCATAGCAGATGTCCTCTGAGTCTCAGATGCTGTCACGTCAGATAGCTGTCATATGTTGTTCCTCTCTCCGCCCCGGATGGATCTACTCTGGGTTTCGATGAGACCGAGAAAGGCTCGTTTTCATGAACCAGGCTTCAATCGAGAAGGCCTAGCGCCTTTGTTCAATGGAAGCTTCGAATTCGGAACGAGAAAGCTCTCAGCCATGAAATCTATTGGACCTCCCCACTGAATATTACGAGATGCTTCGCTCCGACGAAAGAGAGACTGACTACCGATACTGTTTTCAGTCGGGTCTTCCTGAGCTTCAATTTTCGGGAGCCGCCCGTTGATGGCTCGGATCAAAAAGTAGCGAGGGGATGTTGGGACTCTTTCGGAGAGCTTCAATTTGGGGAATTTCAGGTGATCGGAGCTTCGGACAGTTTTCATGGATTCGCGAGATGTCTGAGCTAGAGGCGTTCCGTATTCTCCGGAAGCTTTTGCATGTCTAGCTTCAAGTTCACGGAGATTTCGTCAGGTTCTTTTAACTGAAATGGGCCGGAGAGAGAATCCTAACTCTCGGCTGCCAGCAAGACTTGACTGTATTTGAAGAGTCTCCTGGTCAGGTCTTATTAACCAGGAGAGCCCTCGCGAGAGATTTGTTGGAGTGAAATCGAATTCCTGTTACTCGAGCGTTGTTATTCCGCTAGCTTGGTCCTTCGGTGGGGTCCCATCTGATGAGCGAGTATGAGGGCACTCCAACAGAAAGCTGAATTTGAAACATCTGAACCCAAGAGAGAGAGGACTTAGTAGCTGAGACCATCGATGTATTAGACGGCTAATTTCCTCCCCGGTTGCAGTGAAGCGGCGAAACCAACTGCGACTCTCTTTCGGTAGCGGACACCCACGCCGAGATCCCCCCGAACCAAACACGTTTCCAGCTAGCACCACAATCGTTACTCAGTGAGTTTCTCTGAATAATATAGGAAGAATGCGACCAGAAAAGCCATCATACGGAATCGACGATGGGAGAAACATTGAATATACTGTACTGGTTTTGAGATGTACTGGATATCGAAATGAGAAGGGAAGATCGACGCTCTCCGGAAGGTCGGTGGCTCGCTCTGAGGACCGTGTCAAATTACGCGATAAGCGGCAGAGTACCCGATCAAATGAGAGCATCGGGAATCTCATATCGATAATGCCCGATATTGCCATCAAATTATTCCCTGTGGTGACGAAACAAGGACGAGAAAAGATTTTACCTGTCACCTACTCATTGATTCGGGCGATTTCCGGCGCGAGGCCCCGGAAGACTTACGTCTGGTATTTCTACTTTTCGCGGGCATCATGTGACTTACTTCATTTTCCAGAGACGTCATGGCTCATCAATGGCTTCCGCCTCGCACCGCGGGTTCCGGCACGCTCCGACTCTCCCCACAAGTCGAGTTCACTACGACAGCGGAAGACCTGAAGGATCTCGGGGAGATCGGAGCGGGGAACTTCGGCTGCGTGAATCGCATGAAACACGTCAGGTGAGGAACGGTTGAATTATTCGCGAGAGAAGTTTTCCCCTCGATGCTCCGCTGAATGCGAGCTCATGCTCGTATCGACCAGCATTTCCCGTGCCTAAAAGGATATCTTCTTCCAGCACGGGGCACGAAATGGCGGTCAAACGGATTCGCATGACCATGGACGAGCACGATCAGCAGAAACTGAAAACTGAACTGAGCATCGTTATGAAAAATGACAACGACTTCACGTACATCGTACAGTTCTACGGGACCCTCTTCCGAGAGGGCGACTGTTGGATATGCATGGAGCTTATGGATACTTCATTACACGAGCTCTACAAGCGGGTTTTCGGTCGAGGCAGACGCATTCCGGAGAACGTCCTAACTCAAGTCGCCTTCAGCACGGTGAAGGCTCTTAATTACCTAAAAGGGACCCTCCAGATGATTCACCGAGATATCAAGCCAAGCAATATCTTGCTCAACAGGAAGGTTAGGATCCCGTCTCTCTAATTTCTGCCCTTGAACCGGAAGCGCTCAAGCTGAACCATGATTATGGGTGAAGTTCTACCTTCGATGAACCGATCGACCTCTCCTCGTTCCAGGGCGAAATCAAAATGTGCGATTTCGGTATATCCGGTCGACTCATCGACTCTATAGCCAAAACTCGGGACGCAGGCTGTCAAGCATACATGGCACCGGAAAGAATCGATCCTTCTAAAGCTATAAATGGGTAAGCATGCTCGAAGAGCGATCTCTCTGCATAAATTGAGTCTGTGCCGTGCATTGGAAAGAGCTCAGGCAAAAAAATTTCAATGGGCCTCGGAGACCGGGCCTGAACACCCCCTACTTCGCATAAGATGGAGTCCGTGAATAGGTAACTGAGAGCTCGCTCATCGGATTCCCGATTGGATCCCGGCCCTTGCGTGCACTTTGGGATCAATGCGATAAGCGAAAAACACTTAGATCTGCGCTGGCGCTCCTGCTCGGGGACCTTTTCGGAATGCATGATATTCAGAGGTTCCACGATATATTTCCGTTTGTTTCAGATACGACGTACGATCAGATGTTTGGAGTCTGGGCATTACACTGGTGGAAGTGTCCTTGGGTCAGTTTCCCTATCCTGACTTCACGACAATTTTCGAGCAACTAAATTGTGTTGTTTCGGGCGAACCTCCTCTGCTGAAAGAATCCGATGGCTTCAGCAAGAACTATACTACCTTCGTGAATCAGTGTCTCATTAAAGAATTCGAGCATCGACCCAAGTACGATGCATTACTTAAAACACCTTTGTTAGCGAACCTCCAAAGGAATACGATGGTCGTCGCGGAGTTCCTGTCAACGGTACTCCCTCCCCCCGCGATAACTCCGCGGCCTAGCTAGATTCGACGAGTTGAGCCATCCACATTGAAATGTCAATAATATAAGAAAATCTGAATAAATGACAAGTCAATAGCCCATGAAGAAATATTCTGTGTCCCGGTGATCCGATTATACTTGATAAATGAGAGGTGTCTCTGGATTAGATTGGTAACGCCTGATAATAATCTCAAATTCGATTTGGGAGGACCACAATCTCTGGTTGGGCAAGGGGAAGCTTGCGGGTTCTCAGCCCTCCCTGTGTTTTCCATGGTGGTTTGAGCGCTCCCTGCTGTATCTACGGCAGAGCCAGATCGTGGATGGGATCAAAAAGATTCGTGGATGGGATCAAGAATTTAGATGCGTGGCGAGCTCCTGACACCTCGACCAGTCGGAGCACGGGAGAACTTCTTGAGTCTCGACCGATGTGCTCCCGGTTGTAAGGTGATCCACAGTGCAGTCTAGCAGGGTGCATCCCGGTGCAGTCTCGAATTACGCGCGTTTCCAGCGACGCGAAAAACGTCTACCACCGCCAGCGCCGCAGTCATGGAATGCCAGACGTTATTTGTTGGCCAGGGT